GATGCTGATGATGATGATGCTGATGCTGATGATGACGATGGTGATGATGATTGTGATGATGTGATGATGATGATGATGATGATGATGATGATGATGATGATGATGATGGTGATGATGATGATGATGATGATGATGATGATGATGATGATGATGATGATGATGATGATGATGATGATGATGATGATGATGCTGATGATGATGATGATGATGATGATGATGATGATGATGATGATGATGATGATGATGCTGATGATGATGATGATGATGATGATGATGATGATGATGATGATGATGATGATGATGATGGTGGTGATGGTGATCGTAACGCTGATCTCAAGCCGCTATGCCACCAAGGGTACTTCTGGGTCTGGCAGAGTCCCAGAGAGCCACCAAAGACACGCCAGAGGCCCAGGCCTAGCGCTCACGACCTTCCCCCCCTCTTCCGTGCCCGCCTTCCTGCCCCCCCCTCTCCGCTGGCCGCGCCGCATTCTCTGACCCAATCCGTGCCGCCCCCCGGCACGTTCTTCACAGTCGTGATGCGGCCCTTGGCGGGTCCCTCGGTCTCCGCGCATTTGCCTCAAAATTCGGGGGCGCGCAGAGGAGGGTGGGGGGAAGGAGGGAAAGGCTTCTTAGAAGTTGGCTGCTTCTTAGAAGGCGCGGGCCTGACATCTGCAGACAAGGCCTGCGAAGCAGGGGTGCTTCTCGGAACACTTCCCCCCTCCCCCACACCCCCCTCTGCGCGCGGCCAAAACATCGTCATGCGGCCGGTCGTGTCGAGCCCAGGGGTGCTGTCCAGCAGCCCTGCTCCGCTGCTGCCCTGCTTTGGCTGCCTCGTTGTCCGGCGTCGGCGAGCGAGCGAAGGAAAGCCTGTGGCCTCTGGTGGGGTGGCAGGCTTTCTCCCACCGCCGCGGGGGCGGCCCGCCAGGCCTCCCGCTCCCCGCGCCCTCCGCGCGCCTCCCGCTCACCGCGCCTCCCGCCGCGGAGAGGTCCTTCTGCTTTTTCCCAGTCGGGGGGGGTTCAAAATTTGGAGGCCTGGAAATGGGCGCCAACACCAAGCCAGGGGACTGCCTCCACAGGGGGGAGGATGATCCTAGACGTCGGTGTTCGTGGTAATAGTTCGGCCACCTTGGAAGCCAGAACATTACCACCATTACCGAGATCGGGATCTTTCTTCCCTCGGTGGAGGAACACCGCCGAGACTGGTGTTGGTGCCGGTCTGTAAGCCTGCGAACAATACCTCAAGATGGACCAAGATAGCCTCCGACACACATCCGAGGGGCCTCAAGACGGCCCCAGGAGTCCCCCTCCCTGCGCTGCGGCCTCTCCCTATCGCGGGGGCGCGCCGTGGCAGTGTCCAGCCGCGTCCCCTCTGCTCCGCAGGCGTGACACGGAGCGCTGAGCTCGGTCCAGGGCCTCTCGGCCTGGGGACGGCCTGTTGCGCCCCGCTGCCCCTTCGTGTTCTCCCCCATCCTTTGGCCGGGCCCCGCCTCGAGGGCGTCGCAGGCTTGTCACTTGTTCCTCCGCGTGGCCGTAACACCCTCCGGCTGGAGGCTGCGCCTGGTCCTCTGGGCCGCCCTCCTCTGCCTGGCCAGGGTCCGCTCGTCGCCCCGCTGGTGTCGCCATGTCGCTTCACTTGGCGTTTTGGCCGTCTCGGCGAGGCGCCGCGGCGAGGGGGGGGCGGGCGTCGGCTGGCGTTCGGAGGTAGTCATCCGCGTGCATGCTGCGGCCCGTAGCTCCGTCGAGCGGCGCTTCCCGACTCCGCGGGAAGAGCGGCTGGTTGCGGGCGGCCTGGTCCTGCTTGCTCTGGAACCAGCAGGGGGAGGGAAGGGGTGAGTGACACCAACGCCTGTCCCTCGTCGGCTGCACAACTCCGACCTGCTCACGCCGGGCAGCTCTGGGCCGCAGCGTCCGCGAAACGGGCGCCACGGGTCGCCGGCGAGCGCGCCGTGGAGACTGCCATGATTGCGAAGTGCGAAATACGAAAATGCGTGAGGGGTGAGCCGAATGTGAGGGTGGCAGCGCATGCGAGCGCACCGACTTGGGCTGTAGGTGGAGCTCCCCCGTGGCTACGAAGCGTGTGAGGGGTGTGCCGACGTCCACGATGGCAACGCGTGCGAACGCGCCCACTGAGGCGTGGGTGGCCTTCCTGAGCAGCACAGAATGCCTCAGGGCTGTGCTGGAGGGGAGGGGCAGCGTGTGCGATCGCGCCCACTGGGATAGCAGGTGGCGCACCCCAAGGGGCACGAAACGTGTAGGAGAGGGGGGAAAGGAGGAAAGAGTGGTAGGAGGAGGAAGATTAGGAGGATGAGGAGGATGAGGAGGAGGAGGAGGAGGAGGAGGAGGAGGAGGAGGAGGAGGAGGAGGAGGAAGGGGAGCCTGGAGTGAGGTGAGCCACGCGGCACTGGAAAGAGACGACGAAGACCCAACAACACAGGAGTGCTGCGTGGCCATGACTATGCGCACACCTGGGCAACAGTGTGTGCAAAGGCTCACATGGGATTGCGTCTGCGCTCGCTGCTTCTCCAACCATGCGCGTAGGCATGCAAATATGTGACCGCACGCAGACGTCATCGCAGAGCGTTTGCGCGCATGTGACCGTATACATGCACGTGCACTGGCGCTGCTGCCAGTGCCAACTCAATCTGCGTACCAAGTGCGTGCAGGTGTGCAGTGTTGCGCGTCCGTGCGCAAGTCCGTCTTTAGAAATGCATGCACGTGAAGTCTGTGTACGCAGACATGCGCAGTTCTGCATGTGTGCATGAGGTTGTGGAAGCCGTGGCATCTTGACACGATGTGCATGCGCCATTCACACAGCAACTGCAATCGAAGCGATCGTCACCCGCACCCGAAGTAAGTACAAGATGGGAATCAACTCGCGAACGGGCTGCTTAGCAGCGCACGCGAGCGCTTGAGCCGTCGGCAGGTGTAGAAGACATTGACTAGAAAGAAGCAGGCAGCGCATGCCAGCACAAGTACAGCGACTGTCGATCTAGGGAGGATGAGAATGCATATCCGAGCGCAGCAAAGGGAAGTGGAAATTCTGTATGATAAAGGGGGTGCCTGAGAGAAACTCTCTCTCTCTCTCTCTCTACAGACGAGTCAGGAAAAATAACAAACATAAGCATCGAGAGTGGCCGTGCCAAACGCATGTTGACAGAACTGCAACGCGAGCGCATGATAAGCAGCATGCTGGTGGCGTGCAACCAGGAAGACAGCACGTCTGATCGCTGCATACTGTCACACGTCCACGAGTTGCCAGAGAGTGCGTGAAGAAAGGGCGGCGCAACTCGAGCCCGGCTGTTCGCCGGCTCTGCTTTCTGATTGAAGCCTCGTCATGGACGTATGTCCAGTCGCAGCGGTGGATAACGCACACTGGGCGCGAACGAATGGGAGGGCAATCCATGGGGGGGCAGCGAGGGCGGCAGAGAAGGAGCCCTTGAGGGCCCCTCAAGGGGCCCTTTCGGGCCCAGGGGGGCATCCAGGGCCCGAAAAGGGCACCAACACCCCCGTGCATCGCCCCCCCCAGCAGTTCGCGCCCAAGCGCACCGCGTCCGCAGCCTCGCCGGGGGCGCTGGTGCGAACTGCTCGCCGGGGGCGCTGGTGAGAACTGCACGCGCGAGCGGGCGGGCGCCAGAAGAGGGCGACCGCGGAGCACGAGGGCGAAGGGCGGCGCACGCAGGCCATGAACGCCGTCGTCGTCGTCGTCGTCGTCGTCGTCGTCGTCGTCGTCGTCGTCGTCGTCGTCGTCGTCGTCGTCGTCGTCGTCGTCGTCGTTAGCGTCGTCGTCAGCGCCGGCGTGGCGGCCTCAGGCCTCGTCAGGCACTCTGTCTGGGATCCCCCGCTGGGCAGTGCCACGGGAGTCTGCGCCCGCAAGCGCTCGCGCGCCCGCGTGCACTCCAGTGCACAGGGCCGTCCACGGCGACGGCACGACCGAACACCGACCGAACCAGCAGCGAGGCCGAGACCGACCGCAGTCGACAGCCGACAGGCAGCCTCGAAGGGCGCAGCGACGCGGCAGCGATGCGATCACCGGCCGAAACGAACCGACCGAACGCAGCCGACTGCGACGCGGCCGAGCCGGCCGAAGCGCGAGCACCCGCAAGGCGCCGCGTCTCTCCGCGCGGTGGCCCGCGTCCGTTTTGCTGCAAGCCCTGGGCGCCCTGCGCAGAGCAGCTCCACACTCGTCCGCCGCAGGCTCCGCCCGGACAGGGCAGGCTCCGAGAGGCTCGCTCACGAGCTCGGCCCCCGCGCCTACAATGAGAGGACGTCGAATTCGGAGGGCGGGCGAACGAGGCCGTCCCTGCTGGACGCGGGCAAGATGTATGTACAGATGCACCAGGGCTGGACCTAAACGTCGTGTTCATGCTGTTTTCATCTTGCTGTTCGTTGTGCTCTACCTCTTTTTTCCTGTACCTCCCTGCCAAGACGAAAAACGAAAAACAGCCGAAGTGAAGCAAAACAGCGATTAGGTCCAGCCCTGAAATACACTGCGTCTCGGACCCACGAGCTCCCTTCCCCAGAAGCCCGAGACGCAGTCGACATGGACAACATCTGGCCCACATCGAAGCCACACTTCTGTCCATGCTCACTGCGTCTCAGGTCTCCGGTATCCCGCCCGCAAAAAATCAGGACGCCGTGGATATGGATGTAAATCTTGCCCGCGCAGGGAGACATGCGCGCAGCTAGCGCGCAGGCTCTCCTCGAAGACGAACAGCGGTTCGCAGCTGAGGGGCAACATCAAGGGGGGGGAGAATCATCGACCTGGAATCGGCGATGCGTCGCCGATAGGTCGGCAATGGTCCCCCGATGGCAAATCCAAGCGGTCCTGGGCACGATGGGGCTATCGGGCCCCTGACTATCGGCGATGAGTGCGCGATTGGGGGTCGATGCACCCCCGCCCTTAATCTCCCCCCTGACGTTGCCCCTGAATGACGCGCAGATCAGCTGCGCTAGTAGCGCGCAGGCCGCACTCGAGGAACGGCAGCTAATTCACGACCATCTCACTGGGACGGCGTTGCCCCGCCTAGGGTGGACTGCGTGGCCCCGCCCAGGACCGGCAGCAGCGGCCGGTGCTGCTGCTCCTCTCCGGTCCTCGGGCGCTTGCAGCGCCCGCCGGGGGCCTCCGCAGCGCGCAGCGCCTGGCCCAGCCGGGTGCCTCGCGCGTGCGGCTGGAACGCCGCCCGGAATGCGGCGCCCCCGGCCACCTGCACCTGCAGAGGAACAAAAGGCTGCATTCACAGAGTGCCTCGGATGAGGGGCAACGATATAGGGGGGCACTGGCACAGGATGGGGAGGAGCATCGGCATGGGCGATTGGGGGTCGACGCATCACCCCCCACGCCTCTCCCCCAGATCGTTGCCCCCGATCGGAGGTCTGCACGGATTTCTTGGATCGGCGCTGACCCCCCTCCTCGAAGGACGGAGCACGCCAGGGGCGGCGCAGGAGGCGCCGCCAGGGGGAAGAAATCCACGCCGAGCTCCGAGAACTCACGGTGAGGGCATTGGATAAGGAACCCTCAGAGAAGGAATCCAGGGTCTGGAAGCTTGTGGAGCAACAAAGGAGGCTTGGCCATGGAGATAACCGCCGCCCTCATCAAAAAAAGAAACCTCCAGGGTCTGGAGCCCCCTGGGCACGGTCCTTACCGGTCGCCCACACCGTGTGTCTTATGTCGCCATTTTGAAGCGACCGAACATGTGATCAAGATAACGATGTAGCAACCGAACATACGATCAATAAAACTATCAACCAAGAAATCTGGACAAGCTTCCCAGAAGCTCCTTGAAACAAGCCTCGGCCCAGTTCTGGTGTAAACGTTGGAAGGGGATGAACGTGCTCAAGAGCCTTGACCAGCTTCCCGGCAAGCTTTCTCGGAAACGCTGGCCCAGCCTGTCGAGAGGAGGTTCAAGGGGCCCAGGAACACACAAATAAACAGACACAATTCTCGGGATTCCCCATGCGTCCACATACACACACACATATACATATATGTACAAGACTGCATTGGCGCTGCGCACCATGCACTTTGGCCCTTTGAGTTCCGCACGCAAGCGGAATGCGTGCGTGCGTACATGCGCGCATGCATGTATACACGCGCGCACGCACGTTCCGTATATATATATATATGGATAGATGCATATATTTATATATACATATATGTATATATATATATAAATGTCCAGTGTATACAAAAGAGGTTCATTGTTGTATGTGTGTATACAGCGTACGTATGCGCACATACACGTATGTGTGTAAGGGTGTGAGCATGCATATGCAACTCGTACGTGCTTTGTCGGTGCACGCCCATATGTGTACATATATATATGTGTATGTATAGAACTATGGGTTTGCATACACATGCGTATCTCAGGCGGTAGTGGCATGACCAGTTGCTCAGGGCATCTCGCAACTGAAAGGTGCGAGGGTCTCAGGCGAAAATGGCCAGATGACCATGGGACAATGCATCGCCGAGGTCAGTGTGCGAGGATGTCTCAAGCGAAAATGGCCTGAACACTTCCGCTCAGGACATACCTGAACTCAGAGTTGCGAGAATGTCTCAAGCGAAAACGGCCTGAACACCTCAGCTCAGGACAGACCGGAACTCAGTGACGCGAGGATGTCTCAAGAGAAAGTGGCGGAATACCATGGGGCAGGGCATCTAGGAACCCAGAGCTGCGAGAACGTTTCTAGCGAAAGTGGCCCGAACACCTCAGCTCAAGGAGCCCTGGAACGTAGAGTTGCGAGAAAGTCTCAAAGCAGAAGTGGCTGGACCACCTTGGGGCAGGGCTTCCCCGAGGTCAGAGTTCGGAGGAGGTCTCAGGCCAGAGTGGTCTGATTTCCTCAGCTCAGGGCACCTCGGAACCGAAAGTTGCGAGGATGGCTCTGGCGAAAGTGACCGGAGCACCGCAGCTTAGGAGATCCCTGGACGCAGAGTTGCGAGGGTGTCGCATGCGGAAGTGGCCAGACCACCTTGGGGCAGAGCACCTCCGAGGTCAGAGTTGCGAGGATGTCTTAGGCGCAACTGGCCCGAGCACTATGGGGCGGGGCATCTCCGAAGTCAGCCTTGCGAGGAAGTCTCAAGCGAAGAGTGGTCTGAACACCTCAGCTCAGGGCATCCCGAAATCCAGAGTTGCGAGAAGTCGCAGGCGAAAGTAGGCTAACCACCATGGTGCAGGGCACCTCCGAAGTCAGACTTGCGAGACTGTCTCAGGCGAAATTGGCCTGAACACCTCAGGCCAGGGCGTCTCGGACTCCTGAGTTGCGAGGATGTCTCAGGCGAAAATGGCGGGACCACTGCGAGGCAAAGCGTTTCCGAGGTGGGAGTTGTGAGCATACCCGGGCGAAGCGGATCTCACGACTCTCTCTTTCTCCTCCCCCTCCTCGTTTTCTGTCTGGGTGATACTCGCCACTCGTCCTCCACTTTCCCCTTGCGTGAAATTCCCTCTTCCTGTTTCTTCATGTTCTTATTCGCGTTCTCCTGGTCTACATCCTCCTCCTCCTCCTCTCCTCCTCATCCTCCTCCTGAGTTGACGGCCGGGCCGGGTCGAGCAAAGCCAGCGGGCTGGCCGAAACGGGGACGACGACGATAACGACGACGATTACGACAACGAACGACGACGACGACGACGACGACGAAAAGGACGACGACGACGACGACGACGACGACGACGACGACGACGACGACGTGTGGACGGCTGGCGCCCTCCCGGGGCGCCCCTCCCGGCCACGAGGACGACGACGACGACGACGACGACGACGACGACGACGACGACGACGACGACGACGACGACGACGACGACGACGACGGCAGCGACGGCGACGACGACGACGAATGGGTGTTTTCGGGGCCCTCGTGGGCCGTTTTGGCGCCTTCGTGGGCCGTCCTGGGCCCTTCTTGGGCCGTCTTGGGGAGCTTGGGCCCGCTGGAGCCCCCTTTGGACCCATCTTGGGCACTTCCGGGGACCTCCCATGGCCCTTGCGGGTCTGTGCTGGGAGACCTTGGGGGGCCTCTTGGGAGCATTATCGGTTGTCTTGGGGCTCTCTTGGGCGATCGTGGGGCCCGGCTCGGCCGTCTTGAAGCTTTCTTGGGGGCCTTTTGGGGCGTCTTGAGGCGATCTCGAGGGCTTTGAAGCCGTCTTGAAAGCTGATGAAATCCGAAAAGCGAATAAGCTAAAAGTGTAAGTTTTACGAAGGGAATGGGACGATGTTTGCGTTTTGAGAGCCCCTTGGAAAGCTTTTTGGGGTGCCTTGGGGGTCTTTTGGGCCGTCCGGAAGCAATTGGAGTCCCTCTTGGAGCGCTCTTGTGCTGTCTGGGGCCTCCCTTGAGCCTTTCTGATAACCCCTCTGATCGCTCTGGGTCTGCTGGCAAGGCGATTGTGGAGACCCGGAAAGCCGGGTGACCTTTTCCAAGGACGTCCAAGGGAGCCCGAGAACCCCAGATCCCGGGGATCCAGTTTTGGGGGGGGGATGGTTTTCCCCCCCCCCCCGGGCTTGTAAAAATATAGGATGAGGAAAATGTGTATATGTATATGTATATATCATATATATATATATACATATATATATATATATATATATATATATATATATATATATATGTATATATAGGGTGTCCGTCTCCCCCCCGCCCCCACTTCCTAGATTGTCCCATCTTTACCTGGGGGCCCACGATTTGTGTGTCTTTGTGCTTTTCCCTCTCCAGAGACCCAGACATGCGATGTCCTGATTTTCTCAGGACGGCGTCCCTGCATGGAAGTCTGGACCCTTTCCCCGGGACCGGGATTTCGTCCTGAATCATGTTTTCACGGCCCCGAGGCCTGGCGAGGGCCCCCCGAGGGCGAAAATGGCCAAAAACCTCTCGCCCTGACTTTTTTTATGACGAGAACATGTCTGGGTTATATTGTGTCTTTTTGTTTTTTCCCTCCAGAGAGGTGTCTTCATCCCCAGACCCCCGACGTCATGACTTTTTCATGACGTCGACCCCCAAAGGTCTGGACCCCTTCCCCGGGACCCGTTTTGCATACCTAGTCTTTTTTTGACGGTCCCGAGGACCGGTAAGGGCCCCTCCCGTCGTGATTTCTTCACAGCGCGAGGGGGTCGGGGGAGAGGCGTCTTCATCCTATGCTCGACCGCATGCCAACCTCGGCGCGGCTCGGCGCGGGGCGGCCGTTGATCCACGCCCTGTGGAGCGAGCGCGGCGCCGGGGCGCCCCCGATGAAGCCGCCGGGGCGCTGCGCGGGCGCCTGGCACGCCGCCGCGGCGGCGGCGGCCGCGGCGGGCCCGGCGGGGGCGGCGCGCTCGGCCTACTCGGGGCCCCCGAAACGAGGCAGAAGAAGTTCGTCACGTGATGCGAAGTTCCCTTCCCCCCACCTGATCCTCCTTCTCCCCTTCCCTCCCCTGATCCTCCTCCTCCTCCTCCTCCTCCTCCTCCTCCTCTGCCTCCTCCTCCTCCTCCTCTCCTCCTCCTCCTCCTCCTCCCTCCCTCCTCCTCCTCCTCCTCCTCCTCCTCCTCCTCCTCCTCCTCCTCCTCCTCCTCCTCCTCCTCCTCCTCCTCCTCCTCCTCCTCCCCCCTCCTCCTCCTCCTCCTCTGCCTCCTCCTCCTCCTCCTCCTCCTCCTTCTCCTCCCCATCCTCCTCCTCCTAGCGGTCGCCTGGTGGCAGGCGCCTTTGGAGTGGTTCCTATCAGTTACGCGCCCAACCAGGTGGCGCGAGATGGAGAGGATCGAGCCTTTCAGATCTTGGCTGAATACTCTGAGTGGAATGCAGAAGATCCCCTCACAGTTTACTCTGACGGTGCGGGTTCGATTGAGTGTGCGGTAAATCCAGGTCTGGCGCCCGACCCCATGAATTCTAGAGGGCACTGTTGGGTCCGCTGGTGGGAGGGGATCGGCCACTAGGCGTCTGTTGTAAAGGTCAAGGCGCATCGTGCGCGCTCCTCGGCCACCAGCTTTGAAGATGATTGGCTGATCCTCGGTAATCAGATGTCGGACCGCTGGGCGAAAAAAAGGTGCTCTGAGGTGGTCGGTCCCCCCCAGCAGATCGCCTTTGTTACAGGGGGTCGAGGCCATGGCCCACGATGTCCCGAGATGGCATGCGAGGGCCCAACAGTTGATGGTTGATGGGGGTTTCGTCGACTCTGAGGGGGTTGTTGGGACCTCGGATATCACATTCGAGCTCAGCCCTTTCGAGTGGGAGAGCCTGGCCAGTGCGGCTTGTGAGGAGGGGTGGAGCCGTTTGCGGAGGTCCCAGGAGTGGTTCCTGCCGGGGGATCTGCGTCCTCGGCCTCCCTGCCGCCTCCTCCGCCGCCGCCCTCTCGTTCCTCCCCTTCTGCTGCAGCTGCGGGAGGTGAGGGGGGCCCTGATCTTCAGGAGTGCTCTTGGACGCCTTGGGCTCTCAATCGTCACTCGGTCGTCATGGCGTCGGTCGTGCCCCTTGCTGAAGGGGCGGAACCCGAACCAGATGCTCTATGTTGTAAAGTCTGCGGGTCCTCGGTGCATGAGAATGTTCGGTCGGGTGAGGGGCTGGACGGGGTGTGCCGTGGGAGGGAGGCCCCAGGACTGCGGACTCAGCGTTCCCTCCTCCGCCGAGGGCCAATGCAAGGGCGCCTGAAGACGCGGATCGTGGACGTCCGCGCCCCCTCAGGTGTGGACATCGAGGCCTGGGCCACCCGCTTCCCCTCCCTCGCTGGAGGCGCGCGGGGGGCAGGAGGCGGGAGGTGGGGACGAACAGTCGGTAAGTGCTCCAGCGGCCTTTGAGGTCAAGTATGGCACTAGCGTGCTGCAGCTTGACGACAGGGAGGTCGCTTTGTTGCACGGTGTTGATTCCCCCTTGGCTGTGGTGGACTCTTTCAGGTCCCTGGGGAGGGGGGAGCCTGATTTTTTTGAGGAGCCTGCCGGGTGGTAGGCCTGATGCTCTGCGAAGAGGGGGCCCGGCCCCATGTAGTCAGCACACTCAGCACACCTCCTCCTCCTCCTCCTCCTCCTCCTCCTCCTCCTCCTCCTCCTCCTCCTCCGCCTCCTCCGCCTCCTCCTCCTCCTCCGCCTCCTCCTCCGCCTCCTCCTCCTCCTCCTCCTCCTCCTCCTCCTCCTCCTCCTCCTCCTCCTCCTCCTCCTCCTCCTCCTCCTCCTCCTCCTCCTCCTCCTCCTCCTCCTCCCCTCCTCCTCCGCCTCCTCCTCCTCCTCCTCCTCCTCCTCCTCCTCCTCCTCTGCCTCCTCTTTCTTCTTCTTCTTCTCCTCTCCTCCTCCTCCTCCTCCTCCTCCTCCTCCTCCTCCTCTGCCTCCTCCTTCCTCCTCCTCCTCCTCCTTCCTCCTCCTCCTCCTTCCTCCTCCTCCTCCTCCTCCTCCTCCTCCTCCTCCTCCTCCTCCTCCTCCTCCTTCCTCCTCTTCCTCCTCTTCATCCTCCTCCTCCGATCCAAGCCGCCGAAAAACCGTGCAGCGGCGGACCGCTCGGCGGCCTCGGAGCCCCAGCGCCCTCCCCAGAGATCCTGGCGTGGCCACTTTGTCGCCACGGGCGTTCTTTGGGTCCAGCTCAGGCGCCGAACAAACAGGGGCCTCCACAGATCGATCCGGCTCGGGAACTGGGGCAGAACGGTGGGGTCAAAAGCTCCGGGCGCGATGCTCTGCGCTGTTGCAAGTCTGATTGATGTTCTCAAGGTCCCCGCGCGGCCCGTCACAGCCTGGCCTCGGGGCCCCTTGCGAGAGCCCAGTCGCCCGCGGCGCCCTCGGGAGCACGGCCCGGGGCCCGGAACTGGTGCCCCCGCATCCCCGCAGGCGCCAGCGACCCCGGTACGCAGCAGGCAACGCGTGGCGTGTTGGCGCGGAGCTCCGCACCCAGACCCCCTCGGGCTGTGGGATGCACAAAGACATACTAGTACTAGATGTTCTCCTTGGAGGCGCGCGTCCGACCCGAACATACAGTATACCCATCTTGTAGTATATCGTTTCCCGAGCGGTGTGGCCAGAAAGCGCCCGCCACGACGCATATACTATAAGATTTCTCGGTGCGCGCGTCGCCCCTGGGGGAGCGACGCACATATAGTAGAAGTATGTTGGGGTGTTGCCGAGGCTGTGCTGAAACAGTCACGACGGGAAGCGTTTCGTCGTTGTCTGCCTGTGGGGGCCCTTGCCGGGCCTCGGGACCGTCAAAAACCGACTCGGGATGCAAAACCGGTCCCTTTTTGGGGGTCGACGCAATGGAAAAAAACCTGACGTCGGGGTCTGGGCACATCGACTGAACACAAAGGCCTGGCGCGGTGCATGCGCCAAAACGCGGCCCAGCATGCGCCGAGCCCACACGCAGCGTGTGGTAACATGACGTCGTGAACACGGCACGCGCTGCGCTTCAAAACGGGCGTAGCAGAGCAACCATTGACTCACCGCCCTGAGATCTGACAGCGCAGACAAAATGGAAAAACGCGAAGGATCACGACCAGAGCCCTAGATCCGATGTCTCTGCCCCCACTTTTCGAGCCGGAACACTCTGTGACGGCCCCAGAGCCTGAAACCGGTCGGGGGCGTCCAAAACGGGGGGCGTCGAAGAGGGGAGGGCGAAAATCATGGCCCGCAGCACGTGCGCGGCCCAAGGAGGGAGAGCCGGGGACGCATTGAAATAAGAAGAGGCGCCATGAAAGCTGGGGAGATATCATGGCCGCCGCCATGATACCCACCCCTTCCTAGTTTTCACCCCGAGCCAGACGAAAAACACCCGCTATGAAAAACGCCAGGGACGCAAAAGTCCCCCTGACTCACCCCGCGGCCAGTAGAGGACCCCCCCCAAAAAACATAAGCATTGACTTTTTGAGGTCCGTGCGGATTTCTTGGACCCGCGCCGGACCACCCTTCCGGGCGCGCAGAGCGCGCCAGGGGCGGCGCCGGAAGCGCCGCCATAGGGGCCCCGGCGCGGATCCAAGAAATCCGTGCGGAGTACCAAAAAGTGTACGTTTACGGCGTTCTTTTTGCCATTCGAACCCAAGTCGCACAGAGGTTGGTGGCGCGTGGAAAACGGGTAGGGAGAGGGGGGAAGGCTTCTCAAAACAAGGGTGCTTTTTAGAAGGCGCGAGCCTCACATCCACAGAGAAGGCCAGCGCCTCCTAAGAAGCAACTGCGCTTCTAAGAAGCCTTTCCCCCTCTCCCTGACCACTTATGCGCGTGGCTGGAGAGGGGTCCCGGGGCCTGTCCCGCGGCGCGTCCTGACCAGGATTTCGAAGCGAATCCAGCGGTGACGGCGATGGCCCCCCAGGGGGACCTAAAAGGGGAAAACGGGCGACGGGTCGGGGTAGGGGGGTACCTTTCCTCCTCCGAGTACAGAGGGGCCCCCGTGCCTCGCCGCCTCGAGCGGGCCCGGCGCCGGGGCCGCCGTCCTGCAGCCGCAGCGCCTCCGTGAGCCGCGGCGCCTCCGCGAAGAGGGCCCGCAGCCTCGCGCCCAGGCCGGCACCGGGGGAGGCCGCTGGGGACGGCTCCTCTCGGCGGCGCAGGGGGAGGAGGAGGAGGAGGAACGGAACGGAATGGAACGGAAGACCCGAAAGGGGGAGCGCACAGCACTAATATAACCACAACTATAACCAAAACACAGCAGAGGAGGCGGACGCAATGCGCGCGCCCCACCACGGGGCCGCTGACTCCGACGGGCGACTTACCTGACACCCGACGGAGACAGCGGCGAACCTCGAAGCTACCTGGCGCACGCAGGGAGGCAACAACAACAAAATGACGAAGAATGCGCATCTGACGAGCAGCAAAGCTCGAGAAACAGAAGCCAGCGCGCGGCGACGGACGTGTGGGCGGCGCACCAGAACGGTACCCACGCGGACAGGCGCGCGGCCCGCCCTGCGCCAGCCTCGGACGAACCGGCAACCAGGCAGGATGGCGCGACGCCGCCGCGCGCGGGCCTCGGACGAACCGGCAACCTGCGGCGGGGGATTGCCCTGGCGCAACGAAATGCGCCGTTACCGCCGACTTTGGGCGGGAGTCACAGAGCCTCAAGCGGACTCTGCGGCCTGCTGCTTTAAACGAATCCTCTCACACAAGGCTGACATACGCTGCTCATAGGAAGGGGGCCGTCAGGGAACGAGAGCGCGAGGTCCTGATTACCGTCGGAGCGCCTGGCACAGGAGGGGCGGCGGAGAGGCCCAGCATACTGGGAGGAACCGCGCGATCCAGAGCTGCCCGAAGTCTTGGGTTCGGGCAGTTTCCCTTCCTGAAGTCAAGCAAAATCTCCAAACCTTTACGCGAAGGAGCCCCACACGGACTGCCGAGCTTTAAACCCCTCCCCATGGGACCACCACCCGCAGCGCAGACAGAACATCTGCTCCCTGGACGATGGTCGACACAACCCCAGCACACCAGCTGTTCGGCTCTGCCCAGTCATGGCGACAAGCCTGTGTCCCATGGGATCGCGGAGCAGACTTCGAAGGAACGGCGGCAGTCCTCGGCGTCCGTCCATCGCGACGGTCTCGAGGCTGCTTTGAGCAACTCTGAAACAACTCCTGCATTGCAGCCCGAGATCATTCTTTTTTCCCATCATGTCACGACACGCGTCGCCGTGTTCTAAGGGGGCTGATGCGGCGAGGCCTTGCCCACCTAGCCCCGTTCTCAAAGCACGGGAGAACGTGCGCTGCAAGCTTGATGAAGTTCCAAGCTCTCTCGCCCGCCAAACATAGCCCGCCCGTGAACTATTGCGCCGGGGCCGGGCGCATGCTGAAGCCACCTTCGGCGCATCGATCTGCAACATCATTGGCAACAGCCAAAACCTTTTTCCTCACCTTCGAGGCTTTGGATGTCAGCCTCATCAGGATGGGCCTTTATATGTCGCACTGTCTGGAACAGCGCCGCGCCTTCAAGCAGATGCGCAAAGGCCCGCGGTCCAGCAAATTTACTGGACAGCGCTCCGATCGTGGACTGACAGTCCGCGCCCGAACCAGTCGGACGCGTCGCAAAATGGCCACATATGGCGAAGCCGCAGTGCTCTGCCATTGCAGGCGTCTGCGGCAGCACCCCTAAAACGATGCCTTTGACCACCGCCACGGGGTCCTCGCCCCGCATCTGGGCGCGCAGCTACTGCCCGGGCCGCGCGCTGCAAAGGCCAAATCCAAGGCTTAGTGCTCGAACCGTCGGAAGCTAAGCGCAGCGGGGCCTGGGGCGTCAGATCGACGACCGATTCAGGCGCCATGTCGAGCTCGATTCCTCCCCCGCCATAGAGAAACACCTCAGACTGCGAAGATGCGCAAGGGAGCGCGCTGTCACCGCACACATGCACCCCTCCAGTGAAGATGAGGTTATCGGGATTCTGGCGCGCAGCGCTGAGGTATGAAACAGGCACCTCAGACGCCGCGCGCGCTCCGACAACTCCATGGAGCTGGCAGCTGTAGAGCCATTGGTGGACTGTGTCCTGCTCTCCACTCTCACTCACTTGCCGCCGCGCAAGAAAACGCGCACGCAGGGCGCGATCGTGGGCCAACAGTCCACCGCAACTGCAGCTCTTGATAAGCTATGTTTGACATTGGGTGGGCTTCCCAGCGTTTGGCCCCACGGCGCCCCGAACCAGGTCAAGGGCGGCCCTGGCCCCCGAGGGAAGACCACGCGAGCAGCATCAGATTCCCGCTCTCTTTGCAGTCAAATTTCCAGCTCATCAGCCAAGAGCGCAAGGGGGCGCCACAGACAGGTCAACTCGCAAACCGTCGTGATCGATCCAAGAGATCGGTCCTTCAGCTCGCCACCCAGCACGCTTCGAACTCAGGGCAGCCCGAGGGGTCGGCCCCTGGGACCTGCTCCAAGACGCACACTCACAAGGCCGAGGCAGCCCCCCAAAACTTCAACAGCTGGGCGCGCTAGACGAGAGTCAGGTCCGGACGCCGCGTAGCAGCCCAGGTCATTCCGCGCCGTTGGAGAGCGGGGGGCATGGCAAATCGAGCACTACTGTCACCCAGCAAAGCAACCTTAGCCGCGAGCGAAACACCACCGTGGGCAGGCCCTTCACTGCGGGCGAGAATTCTCTCGGCGCGCAGCCACTCCGAGGCCGTGAGGCCCCAGACTTCAAACCAAAAACTACAGGCAGGAGCAACGCTTTGTTTGGACACTTCTTGAAGGGGGTCCCTTTGGGCCCCTTGAAACGCCCGCGGGGGGGGCCCGACCTTTCGACTTCTTTCATTTTACATCTGCGCTATGCGGCCCCTTTGCTGCAGACGAGCTAGCTATGCTTACCGGCAAGCACCTGCAGATTCACCGGCGCCGAGGCATGCAACGCTCGATTTGCAGACAGACAGTGGCAGGTGCAGAGCTGCGCAAACATCGCGAGCGAGATCTTCGGAAGTTGACACGGTGGACAATTTTCCCGGGCGCAGCTCTGCATTCAACTTCGCACTGGCAACCTTGAACTAATTCATTCCTGACACCGCCACGATGCGGAGACCAGCGTCGTCAATGCAGTTATGGAAATCTACGAACGACGCCATCTCGGCAAAGGTGTCGAAAGCACCTACCGCATGGACCTTGATCGCAAGGACGCCGCACCCGTCGCCAGCTGGCAGTCCGCGGGTAGCCACCACAGCAGTCTGCGCATGATGCCGCCCGAGCCTGCTGATCCTTGGGTCCTCTAGCACGCGGGGGCCCCATGTCGTCGAGACTTGTCTCTCAGCTCCAGCAAGGGGATCGATTCAAAATATTTACCCGGATCCGCCACGCGCAACTTGGCTGCTCTCAGACCACGCGGCCTGGAGCCATGCACAATATGTGGCTGATCGCCCACGGCTGGCACCCCAATCTCGTCGACCAAGCGCGGAATGCATGTGCTCAATCATGGGCATGCGGGCTCTCTGCCAAGTCCGATATACAGCAGCATATAGGATAAGCAAACGGTTATCTCCAGGCGGCACGCCCAGCATGGGCATCTGACTCCAGCGCAGCTGCTTCGGCAACATCCCGATGGCCTCAGACGCCGCCGGTACCAGCGCCAACCTGCTAACACCAGGTGCCTCGGGTGGAAAACATCTCAGCTCGTGGCCGTGCCTGCAGGGAACAGGAGAGCTGCTCGCCTCAGATCTGCTGTATCAAGGAGCGGGCACATCGATCTGTCAGGCACCAACGGAGGCAACGCAACCTCCGATGCACCCCACAGGCGTCGGTACATCTCCACGTCTTGCGCAACTATGACCACTGGGTCGCCAAACTAGATGCCGATGGCGACTGCGGGCGTCGGGATGGCCTTGACCTTCGTGGCGCGGCGGAGCGGCCTGGCCCCTCCGCCCGGCGCAGCACGGCAGCACTCCGCCCACAGACCGTTGATGTCTATCTTCTGGCCCCTGGCAGAAGGGCAACAGCATCTGTTGTGTCATCTACGAACGCGTAAATCTGGTCCATGTCCATGGGAATGGTGTTGGTTAGATCACGGGCCTGAACAACTGTCACATCGAGTCGCGCATGCAATCCTTGTCCAGGGTAGGGAGAGGTGGCGAATCTGGCTTACCATACAAAGCTTGAGCCGTGGTAACTGCATTGTGCAAAAAAACTGCCAGCCCTGGCCGATGCTCCGAACGTCACTGCTACCTTTAGAAGGGTACGTAACATCGACCCACCGCGGCTCAATATTCCTGGCGTAAGCTCCAGATTCACGCAGGTCCACTCCAGTGTTCTGCGCTATGGGCCCAGCAACAGAAACAGCAAACTTCCCATAGGCACGCGTGATAAGGGCCCCTATAGTCGCAACATCACTGCTGGGATCCGCCGCCATCCCCACCGCGCGCTCAGCAAGAGCTCGCTGCAACGTCCAATAGATTGGCCTGGTCATTGGGCCAGGCGGGGGAAAAAGGCAAGCAGTCGCGTCGACACCGAATAGACACAGCGTTGTACCTCCATTCCGTTGTCGGCGGGCTGCAACTGGACAGGACGGTGCGCCTGTTTCTGCCACGGCATCTCAGCATGTACTCCTTCCTTTGTGCCCTCGAACCATGGCATCGTTGAGGCAGGAGAAATCAATCGTGTTGGTGCCCGTCCCGCCTCTGAAGGTAACATGCCTAGGATAGGCTATGACCAGATCCACCTGCTGGGGCAAGAGCGACTGTCCTAGGTCAATCGGAATCATGTTCCAGCCACCCCCTATCACAGCAGGCCCAGAGCATTGGGCCATCAATCGTCCGGCTACAGCAAGGATGCCAGCGCTCATTCCAACTGCTCCGATCGAATCTTCCATGGACACATTGAATATCGCGATAGGAGGCCAGCCGACCATGTCGACGATGATTTGCTGCAGCCTGTGCTCCCACACCATCTGCCCTCGATCTGGGCGTCGTAGCCCTAGTGCATCTCGCACAGAGACCGCGACGCCGCCAGAGGGCACAGTGCCTGCAGTACGCCGAGCGGGTATGGCTGAACACTTGCATTGTTTGTTGTGCGCCCATGTGCAGAGCGCCTCGAGACCGTCCTCCGTGTAGCCGACCTCCTGACACAGGACGATAACAGCGTTGGGTTTCACCAATCGCATCTTCACTGTCTCGCGACCTCCACTGGCGTTGAATGCCTCAACGAAGAAAGTACCCTGAGCTTGGGGCTGGACTGGCCTGCGAACGGCACCTGCACGTAACCTCAGGCCTGACATCAAGGCTAAATCTAGATCAGGAAAATTTCCCTCGCTGTGCTGCCATTTCTTCGAGAAGCTTCGCAGGAGGAGGAGGAGGAGGAGCAGGAGGAGGAGGAGGACCCGCCGAGAGGGGAGAACTTGTGGGGAAGCCGCGATGGGACGGGGAGGAACGCCGCCTTTACCTCCGCCGCCGCCGCAGCCAACGTCGCCGTCGCCTCTGCCGCCGCCGCCGCCGCCACCGTCGTCGTCGTCGTCGTCGTCGTCGTCGTCGTCGTCGTCGTCGTCGTCGTCGTCGTCGTCGTCGTCGTCGTCGTCGTCGTCGTCGTCGTCGTCGTCCGCGTCGTCCGCGTCGTCCGCGTCGTCGTCGTCGTCGATTGCCGCCGCGTGGGGACGGACGAATCCTCGAGTTGTTCTTCGTGTTCGTGAAATGTTTGATCAGGTTGCTAGTCATGCTGCCCTCAGGAAAATGGAAAGACACACTGGGCAATACTTGAACCAGCGCGCTGACCATCTGGCCGAATGTGGTGGCACTGGGATCGTTTGTGGCCCTGCTGATTTTCATCGCTGGGCGGGCCTAGAAGGCAGGAAGCTCATCTCCAGTTTTTTCATACATGTGCCTCACGTAGTGTAAATCCGCCCCTGGATCCCCTACTATCCTCACTCCCCCATCCCTCAGGGCCCCATCTCTGAACTGCCGCTCCTCGACGAAGGGCTGCAGCCAACCTGCGAGGTGGCGGCGGAGCCCGCGCGCGTGCTCTCCTAGAACAACAAAAGACGGCATAAGCGTTAACCTTCGGTGCTCCGCGCGGATTTCTTGGATCGGCGCTGGGCCCCCGGCGACGACTCCGGCGCCGCCCCTGGCGCGCTCCGAGGGTGTCCAGCGCCGATCCAAGAAATCCGCACGGATCTCCGAACGTGTAGGTTCATGCCTTTGTTTCTTCTTCCATCTCCGCGGCCAGCCCAGCGCGCATCCAACAGCACCACGGCGCCGTAGTCCGCGCGATGCCGTATGCACCGCCCCACGGCCTGGTTCACGGCCCGGTAGGCCTGCAGCGAGTACCACTCCTCTCCCGAGAGCCCCGCCGTGTCGCCGAGCTGGCGCCTCGCGTCGTTCCACCGCCGCTTCGCGATCACCAGCGGGTCCGTGCTCTGCGGGTACGGGACGCCAGCGCAGACGATGCCACGGCACAGGTCATCGTCGAAGCTCAGTCCTAGCGGACGCCAAGTAAGCACATTCTCCAATCCTGGCCAGGCTCCTCAAGGGCTGGCCCAGAATCGGCATATACGCTATCCTGGCCCCGGGCAAGAAGGCACATACACCGACCCATGGGCTCAAGAGATCGGCCTGTCCAGGATCGGTGTAGGTGCATACCCAAACATGCGAGGTCCTGACTTGTTCAGTCCGCGGACCCCAGAATTCTTGGCAATTTCCCTACAGGGCCGGTTTTTCATACCTTGTCGTTTCTTGACGGTCCTGGGGCCTGGAGGAGGGACCCCGCAGGCCGCAGACGGCAAGAACCTCCCGTCGTGTTGTTGTTGGCGCGGCGTGAGCACGCCTTGGTCATTGGGGCCCTCCGAGGTCCCTCGCTCATCTTGCCGCGGTAAACGGACAGGCACAGGGCGCCGCGCGGGCTCCGCGCGGCGGCGGTGTACGCCGCGCGCACGGCGGCGAGCTGGTCGGAGCCGCGGGGCTCCACAACGACCGCGCCCTTGCACCGCTCAAGGCGTGCCCAGATCCCGCAGGCGCTCGAGCGCCACGCGCAGACGCACGCCTCTGGGACGCAGACGGACATGCGGTGAGGGCATGTGATGAGGAACCCTTTGTAGAAGGAAGCCAGGGTCTGGAAGCCAGTGGCACTCCAATTGAGGCTTGGCCATGGAGATCACCGCCGTCCTCATCAGATACGGAATCCTCCAGGGTGTGGAGCCTCCAGGGCACATTGCTTAACGAACGCCCCCACTGTACTAACCACGCAGCCTCGTGTCTATCAGCGGGGGTGACCGCGACTGCGCCCGAAGTTCTGCCCGAGCGTGGCCGAAAACAGCGGCCATAGGTCTCCGAGCGCGCTGAGGGGTGTGACCGAAATCCGTGGTTCGACACCAAACTTATGTTCGATGTCGGCTACATATTCGGCCACACTACGCTTCCGGATACACATTCGAAAGCGTTCTCGATCACCTACCGTTTGTTGTCTCATGCAGTGGGGGCCCCACCACAAGAAACTTCCCACAATAAATCTAACCCTAAGACCCCAGGACATCCATCGATTGTGTGCGAGCGCCACGTTCTCCATGGCAAAACTATCGAAGCCCAAGACACCCAGGGAACCCTGGAGGCAAGCAAGAGTGCTTCTTGGTACGGGTCTCCACTGTAACACATCGTTACACGGGCGGTATAGTCAGAAAGTGCCCGTCGACAAGTATGTGTGTATATGCATACCTATATATATATATATACATATTGACGTACGTACGTACGTACGTATATACATACATGCATACATACATACATACATACATTTACATACGTACATACATGCCTGCGGACATGCATACATTCATACATGCATACGTATATGCACACCTACATACGCACAGACATGCATGCATGCATGCATGCATGCATGCATGCATGCGTACATGCATACATACATACATACACATACCTACATATGTACATACATACATGCATAAATGCATACATACACATATACCAAAATACATGCATGCATACACATACACGTCCTTACATACAGACATGCAACATACACACACAAACGTACACGCATGTAGATATATATAAGTGTGTATATGCAATCATACATACATATGTGCGTGCATGCAAACATACATACACATACACACATGCATCCGTATAAACAGACATACATATTTGCATGTACATACAGACAGACAGACAGCTATACCGACATACATGCTGACCTACCGACTGACCTACCTATCTGTATACGTATTTACATAACTCCATACACACAGAGACATCTAACGTGCACGGGTATACACACATATAAATATGTGTATCTATATATATATATATACACAGTCAGAACTCGGAGCCCGCGCGTCGACCCTGGGGCTGACGCGCACATGTCTCGCCGACGGCGAGGCAGAGTTGCTGCATCAGCTACGGAGCTAAACGGGGGCACCGACGAGCGAAGTGGCCAACAGGCAGGAGAAGAGGACGGACACGGCGGCCGCGGAGGGCGGACGCACGCACACATAGTAGAAGTGAGTGTGGGTGATGCCGAGCCTCGATCACCGCGTAGGACGGGAAAAAGCAGAGGACGCCCGCGGGGATCTCCTCCGCTAGCGACGCGATCGTGGAGCCCATGTCTGCCAGGTAGGACTCGCGCCGCCAGTTCTCGAAGGTGCTCATGGCAGGACGGCCGCTCCTAGGAAAGGCTCGAGGAATTTCCACCAAGTCGTCTGGTTGGCCGAGGAGCTCGGCTACAGACGCTCAAGCTTCCCAACCTGTGGGAGGCTGCTGGAACGCCTGGACACCGAGCTCCTTCGTCGAACTCCTTGGGCCCTTGGCTGGCCAAGCTGCTTGGTGGTTGGCAGCTCGGCAAGAAACACGGGGTCCTGAACCCTTCGGGCTTTCCTCCAGGAGCAGCTTTCAGTTCCGAGCCGTTCTTTGACAGTCCCAGGGGGCCCGTGGTGGGCCCCCCAAGAGGCCAGAATGGGTGTAAAACCTCACAATCCGTTTCCCTCAGGGCCCCTTTGGCTTCATGAGGACCACCCTGACGTCAGACGCTAATGATTTTCAATGCGCGACCCCAAGGGTCCCGACCCCTTCCCTACGACCGGGCTCTCGCCCAGGATCCTTTTTGGATAGCCCCAGGGCCCGCCACTGGGATTTGTCGGCTGCACGCAGGAGTGACCCTAGGCAAGAATGACCTTTGGTGCGCGGCTGAACGGGGGACGCGGGGTGGCCAAACCTGCGCGCGCAGAGGTACCAGCCGCTAACCTGCCCGTTCGCACCAGTACTGCGTACCCCTTCGGACCATGCGCAACCGACATATGGTCAAGTCATCCGGGGGAGAGAGCTCGATAAGATCGCCAGACCCCAAAAAAACATTCTTCTCTGGGCGTTGCTTGATGGCCACAACTGGGGGGGCGATGAAACGTGCACCTGTCATGCCCCTCTTGGGCCCCCGAGAGCCCCTTTGGGGGCCTCAAGGGGCAAACGTCAGACCCCCATACATCGCCCCACCATTACGCAACGCCCGACTCCGTTCCTCTTCTGACACCTGGGCTCCCGAGGACACGAGAGAGCGCAGACCCCTTCGGGGGCCCTGTAGGGCACACTTCACACTTCGCACAAACACACACACACACCCTTCATCGCTCCCCCCCCATCACGCAACGCCCGACTCCTTCCTTTTGACTAGGGAAACGAAGAATGACATAAACATTGAAACTCGGAGATCCGCGCGGATTTCTCCCTGGCGCGCGGAGCGCGCCAGGGGCGGCGCCGCAGGCGCCGCCAGGGAGGTCCAGCGCGGATCCGAGAAATCCGCGCGGACCTCCGAGTTCTGATGTGTATGTCATTCTTCGTTCCCCTACTAATGGGCACACTTCACACCCCTCTTCATCGCCCCGCCACCCCCCATCACGCAACGCCCGACCCCTTTCCTTTGACCTCTGGGCTCCCTGGGAAGCGGGGGAGGGGGAAGAGGCGGAGGAGGCGGAGGAGGAGGAGGACCACTGTAGCCCCAAGAGTTGTCAACGATGTTGGAACACACCCTCCCTCCAAGCTCCCTCTTCCTCTTCACAGGCCCCTAGAACGGTTCATTTCCATTGAGGGATCTGCCTCGTTGGAAGACAACCGTTTGAAGACCCGGAAGCATGCCAAAACATCGTTCTCGGGATTCCAACGCCACGAATCAACCTGACTGTTGCGTCTTGACAATCCTGGATCGCGCCAGAACGCCACTCTTGGGATTTGAACGCCGCGAGTCAACGTATATGTTGCACCGCAGCCGCAAACTCCTGAATTTTTCCAAAACGCCATTTCTAGTACATTGATCGTGGGAATTCGTGAGATTCCTGCAAAGTGTATAAACGAATGTGCGCGACGCTAAGATGACAGCCACATTTCGAACAGGAACCACCCTCAATCCTTGAAACTCTTGCAATTTGTTAGAACGAATGTGCGCGGCGCTCAAGCGAGAACCACATTTTGAAAACGGGTGATCCTCAATCCGTGAAATTCTTGCAAATGTTGAAAACGAATGCGCGCGGCGCTAAGACGAGAGCCACATGTTGAAAACGGCTGATCCTGAACCCGTGAAGCTCATGCAAATGTTGAGAACGAATGTTCGCGGCGCTTGGGCGAGAGGCGCATTTTGAAAACGACCCGCCTTCTATTTGTGAAACTGTTGCCAACTTTTGAGCTTCAGAATCATACATGGTGAGGAAGTCTCAGGCGAAACGCCTGGCCCGCCCTAAAAACGAGCCTCGAGTACGACAGGGAGACCTGATCTATAAGGACAAATAATGGAGGAGGAGGGGGGGAGGCGGAGGAGGAGGAGGAGGAGGAGGAGGAGGCGCAGGAAGAGGAGGAAGAGGAGGAGGAGGAGGAGGAAGAAGAGGAGGAAAAGGAGGAAGAGGAGGAACAGGAGGAGGAGGAGCAATCTTAGCACCCCCCTTTTTGTTTGACCTCCAGGGTCCCTAAGAAGCGGGGGAGCACAGACACAAGCAGCTGCGCCCGCCCGATCACGTGCGGGGCCTGCAGCGGCCCCTCCGGCAGCGCCCGGCCGCGGAAGGCCGCGGAGGCGGCCAGCTCCGCGCTGAGGGCCCGCAGGGGCGCGAGGGTGCCGGAGGCGAGCAGAACCGCGTGGGCCTCACTTGGGTCGCCGCTGGGGCTGCTGAGGGGCTACGGGGGGTCTAAAGCGAGACCCCCTCGCGTTGTGAAAAAATCACGACGGAAAGTTGTTCCCTATGTTCGGCCTTTGGGGGCCCTTACCCGGCCTCGGGGCCGCCAAAAAACCACTCGGGATGCAACACCGGTCCCGGAGGAGGGGGCCCAGACCTTTGGCGGTCGACGTCCAGACCTTTGGGGGGCTTGGGGGTCGAAGTGGCGGACTTCGGCGACCCTGAGCCCAAAAACGCTTTCATCTCTTGGCGGCGCATCGTTTACTCCCGCCGCCTTCCGCCAGCCTTCCGCCGGCTTCCGCTGGCGGAAGCGGCCTCGTTTCACTTCCGCCGACCTTGCGCCGCCCTCCGCCGAGGAAGAGATGGCAACTCCTTGCATCCTCGAAGACAACGCGATTTCTGGAACGCCCCAAGTGGATGCCAGCGTGGGCTTTATCTGACCCCACCGAGCTCATATCTGGCCCGCAGGGGCGCGAGGGGTGCCCGAGGCGAGCAGCACCGCGAGGGCCCGAGAGGAAGAGAGAAGCCAGGCCGGTAAGACTTCGGGTTGCGCGCAGACAGCCACCCCCCCAGGCAGTCCTGGCTGGCCCCGGCAGCGCCCCAGCGTGGCGGCCCAGCGCAGCGCCAAAATCGCTCCAAAGCTTCAAGAAACTCAGCGTGTTGTCCCTTTTTCTCGCCCTCTCGCTTCCGACGGCCTTCCGAGGCACGAAGAAGGCTCCAAGAAGGGCCCAAGAGAGGCCAAATTTGGCCCAAAGACGGGCCCAAGAGCGCCCAGGAAGGCCCCAATTCAAAGCCCCAGGCCCCCCCGAGTAGCCCGGGGCGGTCTCAGCACCCCTGCGCCGCCTCCGGCGGCGCCGCCAGGACGCTCCGAGCCACAGGGTTGAGGCGCGGTGTAGGAGGAGGAGGAGGAGGAGGAGGAGGAGGAGGAGGGGGGGGAGGGAGGAGGAGGAGGAGGGAGGAGGAGAGGAGGAGGAGGGAGGAGGAGGAGGAGGAAGAGGAGGAGGAGGAGGACGAGGAGGAGGAGGAGGAGGAGGAGAAGGAGAAGGAGGAGGAGGAGGAGGAGGGAGGGAGGGATGGGACGTCATCCAATAGGCCCTGGCGGCCGTCAGCATGCCGACAACCAACCACCGGGGCCCCAGACGTCAACTCGGTGCACGGGTTGGTGACCTCTACACCGCCAGGTGCGAGCCGCCGCCCTGCGCGAGGCACGGGAGCCGCGGCGACGAGGAGACCCCAGACCGAAGCCCACACGGGCTTCCGCCCCGACCGCGGCCCTCTACCCGAGGACCGAGGCCAGGCGGAGCCCACCCCCACCCCCACCCCCCCATGTGGATGCCCTCTTTTGTTCCTTGAGGCCTGCGAGGCGAACGTCTCGAAGATTGCAGAAGAGGGAAAATCAGCATGAACGTCAGCTTTCGGCTACTTGCATGCAAGACCCAGACCCCCTCGCATCGTGCAAAAAACAAACGCCTTTTGGACGTTTTCGGCCTCTGGGGGCCGTCACTGCGGCCCTGAGACTGTCCAAAAATTACTCAGGATGAAAAGACTGCACTGGGGAGACGGCGGGGACTTCGACCCCGCATTGAGAAAAAAACAAGACAACGGGCGTCTGGGTACCACGCAAGAGCGACACTAGGTTAGGACGCAACTCCAGAGAGGTCTTCGTCAGAACGCTCACGGGAGACTAAGCCCGATGAGGGGACGAGTAAGCCGGATCAGCCCAGATTATGCCCCGGATGAATCAGCCAAATCTGACCGGAACAAACGGGATTTGCCAACAAGAGTAAATCGAACTCAACGGGACTATACCGGATGAGGTTCGTTTTCGACCACGCATATATCAGCGCCGATACTGAAGTTAACCTCCCCAGAGTTGCATCCGAACTGTCGAATACATGTACAATACTAGGTGCACGGCGTGAGGGGGGCGGGGGGGGCGGGGGGGGGGCCAAACCCAAGCGCGCAAGCCGCTGCTAACGCACGGCATGAAGCTATCGGGGGGCCCCAGTGGGCCCGCACCAAAAGCCGGGTGGTCGAAGCTTTCTGGGATCGGCGCTGCGCCAGGAGCGGCGCCGTAGGCGTCGCCAGGGACCAAGGGTGCGGGGAGCAGCGCAGATACAAGAAAACCGCGTGGACCTCCAAAAGTGACTGCTTGCTGGGTGACAAAAAGGTACCAGTACCACTGCCGCTCCCCAGACTTCACCCAGGATGCATTCTGACCCGAAGACCGAGGCGAATCCAGCCGTGGCGACAAGGGATCTCCAGGACGCGTAGCACTAGATCGGTATCCCCAGACATCCGCCGATACGATTTTTTCAATCCGCGGCCCCCGAGCTCCCGACCCCTTCCCCAGGGGGGTGGTGTTGCGTCCCTGATCCGTCGTGATGGCCTCGGGGTCTGAAAACGAGCTCCGGAGGCCGAAATGTGTATCTATATTTTTATTTTTTATTTGTGTATATATATATATGTTGTTAAAGCATTGAACAAATCAGATCGTTGAGGAATGCATCCCGTGACTGATGCCGTTTTCCCCCTTCGAGATGACTCCCGGCGACATCAGCCACGCGGCAAAGGAGCGCCCTCCGGGCTCGGAGCCGATGCCCACCACGTAGGAGCCGTGGTGCTGAGCCGCCAGCCCCAGCTTGGCCTGCAGCTCCAGCAGCCGGCCCAGCGCGCCCAGCAGCGCCGCGTCCTCTAGAGAAAGAAAAAACTCCTCCTCCTCCTCCTCCTCCTCCTCCTCCTCCTCCTCCCTCCTCCTCCTCCTCCTCCTCCTCCTCCTCCTCCTCCTCCACCTCCATCTCCTCCTCCTTCTCCTCCTCCTCCTCCTCCTCCTCCTCCTCCTCCTTCTCCTCCTCCTCACCACCAGCCTTCCCGCACTCCTCCACCGCTCTTCCTTGCGGATCCGCCACCGTGCCCCCATGGCACGACGAGGCGTCGTAGAATGCAAAACGCCGCTCGGACTTCTTGGATCGGCGCTGGTCCCCCCCTTGCCCCGGGCGCGCCCCGCCCGCCAGAGACCCACCCGCGACGTGATGATTTGGTTCACGACGTCGGCCCCCAGAGGTCTGGAACCATTCCCAGGGACCGACTCGTCATCCCGAGTCGTTTTCGACGGTCTTAGGGCCCAGTGAGGGCCCCCAGAAGCCGAAAAAGAAAAACAAGCTCCCGTCGGGATTCCTTCATGACGCGACGGGGTTTGGGGAGGGAGGTCTGGCGCCGACCCAAGAGAAATGCGCCTGGAACTCCGACAGTTTTTGCGTTTATTGGCCAGACCTTAGCATACCATCCTTCAAGAAGATGAGTTCCTCCGCCAGCCCAAACACACACAGAACATCCAAGAGAACCTTCCCCAGGATGCACAAGAACCGACCTCGATCTTATACCTCGGCTCGACCGTACCCCCAGGCGCGCCGCTGAATTCGGTTTGGGAGTCATAACTCGGCTCTCCGGTGGCCGTTCGGGACGATCCGGGCACCCTCGGAACGCTCTCGGCGAGGCGCATCCGCTGGAACGCATCCCGAGGGCGGAAAGCCGCTAGGAAACTATGGAACCGCCCGAAAACGTCCAGCCGCTGGAACGCATCCCGAGGGAGGAAAGCCGCCAGGAAACTGCGGAACCGCCCGATAACCTCGGCCCCGAAGAGCTCGAACCGTACAGCGGAGGCCCGTCCACAAGAAGCCTTCCGCAAGACACCCGATCCTGAGACCCCAGGACGTCCATCGGTTTTTGGTGTGGAAACGTCATGCTGTCCATCGCAAAACCATCGACACCCAACAAACACAGGGCACCCTGGAGGCAAGCAAGTGTGTCTCTTCGCACGTGTCTCCACTGTACGCAGGTGTGGCTCTGCTGCGGTCCTCGCCCTCGCCCTCCCCCTGGCCCTGGGCCCGCAGCAGCCGGTCGGCCAGCTCCACGCCGAGCTCCTCGACGGCGCGCCCAAGGACGCCCCACTCGGCCAGGCCCGCCGTGGCGAGGAAGTCCGAGGGTCGGAGGAGGCACGAGGCTCAGTGCACAAATCGTCCCCAGATTATGTCTTTGCTCGCATTTGTGAGTATGCTCCTCCTGCGGACGGACATGCCCGACGGAGCACGGGGCCGGGTCGGAGGAGGCACGAGGCTTAGTCCACAAATCGTCCCCAGACTATGTTGTTACTAGTTGTGAATATGTTTCCCCTGTCGGGAGCGGCCAAGAGGGGAGTGTCCAAGAGGGGGGGGTGCAAATCATGACCGGCGGCATGTGCGCGGCCCAGCGGGGGGGCCAGGGACGTAATGAAATAGGAAGAGGCGCCATGAGATCTGGGGAAATATCATGGCCCACGCCATGATATCCACCCCCCGTAGTCATCACCCCCCTCTTTTCTGCCCCCGACCCTGTGGAGGGACATGCCCGAGGGAACACGGGGCCGGGTCGGAGCGCCAGGCCCAGACCCCCTCGCCGTTATGAAGAACTCGCGACGGGAGGTCCTCAACTATGTTCGGTCTCTGGGGGCCCTCGCCGGGCCCCAGGACCGTCACAAAAAAACGACTCGGGATGAGAAACCGGTCCGCAGGGCTGGACCTAAATGTCGTTTGTCGATTTGTTTGCATTTGTTTCTCGTTCTGCTCTGCCTGCTTTCATGTGCCTCCCTGCCAAAACGAAAAGCAAAACACACAGCCGGAGTCCAGCAAAACAGCGTTTGGGTTCAGGCCTGTGGGGCCGGATCAGAGCGCCAGGCCCAGACCCCCTCGCCGTTGTGAAGAACTCGCAGCGGGAGGTTCTCACCTACTCCGAGTTGCTTCATAAGCGTCGGGGGGGCGTCACCCCCGCCGACAGCCCCACATCGACCCCCGTCGCGGGCATCCACCGCACGCCGAAGGCGCTCCGACCCCCGTCGCGGCGCGACGACGAGGCGAGGTTGACCCCCGTCGGCGGGGGTCAACCCCCCGACGCTTATCAAGAAACCCAGGGTATGTTCGGCCTCCGGGGGCCCCATCGGCGGGCGCCGCGGGGCCGTCAACAAAACGACTCGGGGGGAGAAGCCGGTCCCAGGGGATGGGGAAGTGTCGAGACCTCTGGGGGGGGGGGTCGACGCTGGGAAAGAATCACGGAGTCGGGGGTCTTTGGGGGGGAGGGGATACAGTAGGGGCTCGACAACAAGAAAGCTTCCACAAGAAACCCGACCCTGAGACCCCAGGACGTCCCTGAACTTCTGCTGTGGGAACGCCACGCTGCCCATCGCAGAACCATCGAGCCCCAGGAAACCCGGCCGGGGCACCCCGGAGGCAGGCAGAGCGCCTCTCGGCATGGGTCTCCCCTGTAGGCTCCCGGGGGGGATGCAGGGCTCCGAGGCTCGAGGCCGTCTTCGGACGGTCCCCGGCGGATCCTCGGCGGAGTGCCGGCCTCGGGGGAGGGGGGGGGGCCTCCCTGCAGCTGCGTCTGGAGCGTCCTAATCAGGCGGACGCCGGCGAGCCGGCTCCAGGGCACCGAGGCAACTCGAAGATCGATCTGCCTCGGTGCACTGGAGCGCCTTCGAAGTTGGAAACTCGAGATTGGAAGCTCGAATTCGAAGCTCGAAATTCGGCTGGCCCTGCGACTCCGACTCGATGCGATGATCGGATCGATGCGGAATCGCAGGGCCAGTCCGCAGAGCAAGTCGCATGGAGAAGGATGGCACGCGGACCTGAAAAGGGCGGAGAGCCAAGGAGGGAGCGCGCCACATGCTGTGATCATGCAGTGGCTCTGATCACCCGTCCTCGACGATCCCCGGGCGAGTCCGACCCCCATGCTATCCCCCCCCCCCCATGCGAGACCCGACGTCACGAGTGGCCCCTTCCCAGTACCAGGCTTTCGTCTCGAGTAGTTTTTGTCACTGCCCCGAGGCCCGGTCAGGGCCCCCGGATGCCGAAACCTCCCGAAAACCTGCCTCGGTGATGCTTGTCGCAGCTCGAGGCCCTAGATCCGACTTCACGGAAAGAATGCAACATGGAAAAAACTGTCGACCGGAACCCTGGACCCTACCTGTAGGTCGGGCGTGTCCCCCTACAGGCGGGTTTTGGATGAAAAATAAAGGATATACCAAAAATATGTTTTCAAATGATAAAAATTGTCAAAAAAACAAGCCCATACGATTTGTTTGACTATTGTTGCATACTCCTCCCGTGAAGGGACAGGCCCGACTTGCTCTGCCTTCCTGCTGCCCCTGTTCGAGCCGACAGACCCGCGGCAGGCCCCGTGGCCCGAGGCAAAGCAGAATCGGCCGCTGTGAAAAAGCTGCCTCGCCGGAATCTCGGGAGCCCCTTCGCGAAAACGCCCTCGACCTAGGTCGGGCATGTCCCCCTTCCAGGCCGAATTTGGGCGAGAAAAAAAGAGTACCCCAAAAATACCCCCAAACAGCCGAAAGATACTCAACACATCGTCCCCAGGCTATGCTTTGACTATCCTGCAGAGGGACGGGCCCGACTCAACCCTTGACCGGCACCTGCCCCCTCCCCTGCCCCTCCCACGACCCCCCCTGGTCAAAGCACGATTCGCGCCCGCGCCGTGTGCGAAGCAGCCACTCCTGACGGCGCTGGCGCGAATGGTGGCCTGGCTGGCCCCCATGCCCCCCCCCCTCTCCCCCCCCCCCTGCGGTCGCGCCCGTTGTCGCCAGGGGGTACAACGAACCGTCGCAAATCGCCTGTCGTGACAAGGTTGCATCGCTGGGACCTCACGGGTGTCTATGGGCCTTGTGTTCCAGAACTCGAGGCGGTCGCAAAGGAAGCAAGACAGCATGAGCATAAACTTTCGGAGGTCCGCGCGGAGCTCCTGGGTCGGCGCTGGAGCCCTCCTCTCTGGAGCGCGGAGCGCGTCAAGGATGACGCCAGAGGCGCCGCCAGGGGGGCCCAGCGCCGCTCCAAGACATCTGCGCAAAGCTCCGGCAGTTCATGGTTATGCAGCTGCTCCTTCCTTTCTTCGTCTTCTTCGTTTTCTTCTTATGTTTCTTCTTCTGTCTTGTTCTTCTTCTTCGAGCCTGAGCCTACTCGTGGGCGAAAAGAAAAGCATATCCGCATCCGCCGCCTCGGTGGCCAGGACCGCGGGCCGCGACCCCGCGGATACGGGACGCTTCTCTCGCGCGCGCGCAGAACGTGCCCGCGCGACCGCGTATCCGCGGGATCGCTGCTCGTGACCTCTTGCGTTCGCCGAGAGGCGGGAGGATGCCCAACAAAAAGGGCGACCCCCATTCGCAGGTAAAGGACATCGGGCTTTCTCGCTACGTCGACCCTCAGGAGGTCTGGACCCCTTCCCCCCGGACCGGCCTTTAATTCGGAGCCGTTCTCTGACGGCCCCGCGGCCTGGCCTGGCGAGAACCCCAGGAGGCCGGAAATGGCCAGAGACCTTCCGCCACGGTGTTCCCCGCACGGCGCTGCGCAACCCAGACCCCGAGCGCCGTGATTCTTCCACCACGTCGACCCCCTGAGGTCTCGACCCCTTCCCCGGGACCCGCTTCTCATCCCGCGTCGTTGCTTGACGGCCCATGGGCCCAGCGAGAACCCCAGGAAGCCGAACATGTCCAGAAGCCGTCCGCCGCGATGTTCCCTGCGCAGCGCTTCGTTTCAGACCCCCTTGCGAACAAAATGCAGCTTCGTAACCAATCACGACGGGAGCCCCAGACCCCCCACCTTCCTGCGCCAGGGCCCATCACAATTTGGCGAACACGCCCGTCGCGAACAACACAAAACTGCCGAAACGCCCGTCGTGAAAAGATTGCAACGCCAGAGATCCGATGTCGTGATTTTGTCCATACGCGGTCCCCGGAAGTCCGGACCCCTTCCCCGGGACCGGTTTCACATCCTGAGTCGCTGTTTGATGGCCCCTGGGCCCAGCGAGGGCCCCTATAGGGGCCGACAACTGCGAAAAAAACCACCGCCGTGACTTCTGTCGACACGCTGACCTCCGGGACGCCAGGATCTCCGGGGAGCCCTCCTGCCTCCGCCGAGAGGAGGCCGGGTGCCCCGGGAGGCCCCACACGCGGCTCAGGCCCGCGAGCGGCTCCGCCCCCGCGGCCGAGGCGCCGCCAGGGGCGTCCGGCGCCTCGAGGAGGGCGAGGAGGCACAGCGGCAGGCGCTGCAGCGCGGCACACGCCTCGCGGCAGGAGAGCTCGCGGTCCCCGGAGCTCACCTTCAGGCGCGGGTGCCGCTCCTGAGCGGCGTGGAGCGATGTGCGCCATGCCCACGTGGGCAGAGACGTGTCGCCACGTGATGCGAAGCTCTCCTCCTCCTCCTCCTCCTCCTCCTCCTCCCTCCTCCTCCTCCTCCTCCTCCTCCCTCCTCCTCCTCCTCCCCCTCCTCCTCCCCCTCCTCCTCCTACTCCTCCTCCTCCACCTCCTCCTCCTCCTCCTCCTCCTCCTGCTCCTCCTCCTGCTCCTCCTGCTCCTCCTCCTGCTCCTCCTCCTGCCCTCCTCCTGCTCCTCCTCCTCCCACTCTCATCATCATCATCATCATCATCATCATCATCATCATCATCATCATCCATCATCATCATCATCATCATCATCATCATCATCATCATCATCATCACATCATCATCATCATCATCATCATCATCATCATCATCATCATCATCATCATCATCATCATCATCATCATCATCATCATCATCATCATCATCATCATCATCATCATCATCATCGTCATCGTCATCATCATCATCATCATCATCATCATCATCATCCTCATCCTCATCCTCATCCTCATCCTCATCCTCATCATCATCATCATCATCCTCATCATCCTCATCATCCTCATCATCAGCATCATCATCATCATCATCATCATCATCATCCTCATTCCATCCTCCTTCTCATCCTCCTCCACCTCCTCCATCCCGCTTGCTTTAAAACACCGCCTCCCTGTTGCACCTCCACACGTTCTGTTAGGGCGAGGCGGGCGTTTCGCCTGGGACTTCCTCACCACTGATGATCTTGAACTTTGAACTGTGCAACAGCATCACGCATACAGGGCTGGCCATTTTCAAAATGCAGCTCTCGCCTCAGCGACGCGCACATTCGTATCAAAAGTGTCCCGCAATTTCACGGATGGAGGGCAGATCGCTTTCAAATAAAGGCTCCCGCCTTGCGCCGCACACATTCGTCTTCAAACTTGGTACACGGATGGAAAGCTGGTCCTACTCAACATGTGGATCTCGCCTTAGCGCTTCGCACAGAAGTTTGCACCAGCTTCGTGGATGGAGGGCTGTTTCTTTTCGAACCGTGGCTCCCGCCTTAGCGCCGCGCACACTCGCCGTAATAATGTGTAACCTGTTCACAGATGGAAGGCGGGTAATTTTCCAAATATGGCTCTCGCCTCAGCGCCGCACTCATTCGTCTTAAAACCGTGCAGCAGCTTCAATGCTGGAGGGCGTGTCCTTTTCAAGATGCGGCTCACGCCTCAGCGCCGTACACCTTCGCCTGAAAAGCATAGATAGACAGGCTCAAGGATTCGCATGGTTGAGGTCCCATGAATGGCAGTCTGGCACGACGTGGGGTCGTCACGATAAAAACTGTCAGCCTTCTTTCTCAGACGGTTGCCCTCCGATGGGGCACCTCCCGCGGGGAAAATCAATTCTTTCAGGACCTGTGACAGAAACTGAGAGGGAGGGAGCATTGCAGCCTCGTGGATGCGGCTTGGGTTCACACTCGTCCTCCTCCTCCTCCTCCTCCTCCTCCTCCTCCTCCTCCTCCTCCTCCTCCTCCTCCTCCTCCTCCTCCTCCTCCTCCTCCTCCTCCTCCTCCTCCTCTCCCTCCTCCTCCTCCTCCGCCTCCTCCTCCTCCTCCCTCCCTCCCTCCCTCCCTCCCTCCCTCCCCCTCCCTCCTCCTCCCTACTCCCTCCTCCCTTCTCCCTCCCTCGCTCCTCCTCCTCCCCCTCCTCTCCTCCTCCTCCTCCTCCCCCATCCTCCTCCTCCTCCTCCTCCTCCTCCTCCTCCTCCTCCTCCTCCTCCTCCTCCTCCTCCGAAGATTCAAATCACGTGGCGGATCCACGTCACCGACCACTGGCGTGGCCTTGGCCCCACTGGCAGACTTGCCCACTCAGGTGGGGGACAAAAATGCCGGCTCATTCGGGCTTCGCGGGGCCTTCTCCCCACCTGGGAGGGTAGTCTGGTGGGGCTGAGAGACCATGGCCCGGTGGGGATGGAAGTAGGTTCGACGACGCTGAGCTCCGGGAGCGACCCGAGCAGCCTGTCGGCGGCGCGCCGAGAGGGGATGTGAGAAGGGGCGCGCCTTCTCAGAAGGCGGCGGGGCTTCGGACGAGGCTTCTGGCATAAACATGCGCTTTCGGAGCCCCGCACGGACTTCTTGGTCCAGCGCTGGATCCACTCGGAGCGGCCAAACGCCGATCCTGGAAATCCGCGAGGACCTCCGACAGTTTCCGTGAACGCCTTCCCTCGCCTTCGGGGAAAGCCTCCTGTGGCTCACAAGAGGGCGCAGGAAGCTTCTCAGAAGGCCCGAGGCTCCAGAGAAGGTCTCCAGGAGGCTGGCCCATAACGAGTCCTTGAGCCAAGGTCGCGAAGAGGCCGGCACGCCTGGGGAAGACATCTGCCGCAGCTGTGGCGTTTTCAAGATACCCGAATTGAAAAACCTTACCATCTCTTGAGAGGCAGACTTTTACTTCCTCCGGTCTCCGCCAGCCTTCCGCCGGCGGGGGCGGCCTCGTTTTACTTCCGCCGCCTTCCGGCGGCCTTCCAACGAGGAAAAGATGCCGTCCTCGAAGGCGAGGCCCTCTCTGGAACGCCTCACACGAAACCAAAGACATTCGCATCATCCTTTTGAACTCGGGGGCGGCCCAGAGGGGGGCGTCCAGAAAGGGGGGGGGGGGGGGGCGCAGATCATGGCCGGCGGCATGTGCGCGGCCCAAGGGGGGAGGCCAGGGACGTAACCAGATGAGCAGAGGCGCCATGAAATCTGAGGAACTATCATGGCCCAGGCCATGATACCCCCCCCCTCTGAGATCCGACGTCGTGACTTTTTCCATACGTGGTCCACGGAAGTCTCGACCCATTCCCCGCGACTGGTTTTTCATCCAGAGTCGTTTTTTGATGGCCCCGAGGCCCGGCGAGGTCCCCCAGGGGCCGAACTTTGCGAAAAACCTCAGTCTTGTTCTTTTCAATGCGTTGGATCTCTGGGCCCGTAGTCCTCACCCCCCTCTTTGCCGCTCCCGATGAGCCATCCGAGAAGGCCCACCTTGGTCCAACCTGGAATGCCCTGGGCAGTCCCCAGGAGGAGGGGTCCGAGAGCCAGGGCCCTTGAGGCGCGCGCGGCACTGCCAGAAGGACCCAACCTGCGCCCACGGGCGCCCAACATCCAGGGAGAGATTTCGAGCAGTGGGAGCTGGAATGGACCTGGCGGTGCCCCGAAACTCGAGACGCGGCCGAAGCGGCAGCAACTGTGAACCAGCAGGCCCTCCCCCCCCCCTCCCCGGGGCGCGACCCGCCGGGGCCTGGCGAGCTGGCGCAGCTCCACGAACGAGACCTTCACGCTCCCGGCCTCTCGGCACCCCTGCTCCTGAGGGGCAGCGCTTGGAGGAGAGAGGCTCTGTGGAGGGAAGGGGAGGAGGAGGAGGAGGAGGAGAAGGAGGAGGAGGAGAAGGAGGAGGAGGAGGAGGGGGAGGATGAGGAGGAGGAGGAGGAGGAGGAGGAGGAGGAGGAGGAGGAACAGGAGGAGGAGGAGGAGGAACAGGAGGAGGAGGAGGAGGAGGAGGAGAATAATAACGAAGAAGAAGAAGAACGAACGAACGAACGAAGAAGAAGAAGAAGAAGAAGAAGAATAACGAAGCGCATGGATGAGGCGTAGGTGGAGGAACAGTAGTGGCCGCCACACGCTGGAGGGGGGACCGGCTCGGGAGCCAAGACGGCCAGCGACGGCCCCAGAGGACGGCCAAAGACGGCCCCAAAGACGGCCAGAGGATGGCCCCAAGAGGGCGCAGCACGACCAGAAAGCGGCTCAAGCTGGCCCCAGCACGGCCCAATAGGCCCCAAGACGGCTCAGCCATGCAGCAAGGGTACATTGGAGAAGGAACCCTTGTACAAGAAAAATCCGCCCACACTGTCGGCGTGTGTGAGGGGATTGTCCGTTCGAGTCGTCGTTTTCGTCATTCGCTAGTCCTCGTCTCTGCCGGCTTCTTTCCCAGCGGCCCCCTTCTCCCTGGGCCCGTCGCCGCTCCCCTGGGCCTTCCTCACCAAGGGCGCCAGCCAAAGCGAGATTGAGCAACGTCGAAATTCAATTGAAGGGAAGCCCCCTTCCTTTGATCCCTCTCCCGTCGGGGAGGGGATCCCCGCTCAGGGGGGGTCCCGGGGGAGGTCCTGGGGTGGGTCCCAGGGGGGGGGGTCCCGGCGGAGATGCGACGGGGTCCCGGGGGGATACGCCTCCCTCCTGGGGGTCCTGGGTCCCACAAAAGCCCCAGGACAGGCCAAGAGTGCTCGAAGAGGCCCCCAAGACGGTCCAAGAGGGCCCCGCATCGCCGAACGATCTGTCCAAGACGCCTTCACGGCCTCCTGAAGGCCCATGAGGCCTGCAAAACGCCGCAAGAGGCCTCCAGGAGCACTACCAAGAAGGCCCCAAGAGGCAAAATTCATGAACCCCAAATTAGGCTTGCCTGACGGTTCCTACTTGGTTAAATGTTGGTGCCTCGTATTCTTACGTTGCCCGTTGCTCGGAAATTCCCCAGATTCCCCGCCTCGGGTGCCTCCTATCGTTACGTTGCCCGTTGCCCAAGGTTCCACATGTTCCCAGGGTTCCCCGGGTTTCCCGCCCCCGCAATGCCAAGCAATGCCAAGCAATGCCAAGCAATGCCAAGCAATGCCAAGCCATGCCAAGCCATGCCAAGCAATGGCAAGCAATGGCAAGCAATGGCAAGCAATGCCAAGCAATGCGAAGCAATGCCAAGCAATGCCAAGCAATGCCAAGCAATGCCAAGCCATGCTAAGCCATGCCAAGCCATGCCAAGCAATGACAAGCAATGCGAAGCAATGCCAAGCAATGCCAAGCAATGTCCAGCAATGCCAAGCACTGCGCCCATGCAATAGGAAGCTTTCCCCTAATTGGGGTCGCGCCGGGTTCATGTCCCTAAGATCTCTGAAAGATTTGCGTTCTCGCCTCTTCCGCTTCCTGACGCTCCAAGACGGCCCAAGAGGCCCCCAAGATCGACCCAAGACGGCCCAAAGTCCTCCAAGAGGCTCCCAACATGGCCAACGAGGGCCCCAAGACGGCCCGGGACGCCTCAGGCCAAGAGGCACCCAGGACGGCTCCAAAGGGTGCCCAGACGGGGGACCCGAACGGACATCTCGAGCCCTCGCCCCCTAGAAGCTCTCAGGAGGCCCCAAGAGACCTCGAAGACGCCCCCGAGTAGCTGCCAGAAAGCACCTGGGGGCCCCCAAGAGGCTCAAGAGGCTCCCAAGAGGCCACCCAAGAGTCTCCCAAAATGCCCCAAAACTGCCCACCAGAGGCCCCCGAAAGCACTCCGAAGAGACCCCGACAAGAATCCCCTCCTCCCCCTGCTCCTGTTCTCCCGCCTCGTATCCATTGTCCTCCACCTGCTCATTGCCCTTCTCGACCTCCTTCTGCCCCAACTCCCCCTCCTCATCTGCTCCGCATGCTCTTCCTCATCCAACCCCTCCTGCTCCATCGCCTCCTTCTCCTCCTCCTCCTCCTCTCCTCCTCCTCCACCTCCTCCTCCTCCTCCTCCTCCTAGTCCTCCTCCTCCTCCTCCTCCTCCTCACTCTCCTCCTCTTTCCTTCCTTTTCCTGCTCCTCCTCCTCCTCCTGCTCTTCCTCCTCCTCCTCCCCTCCTCCTGCTCCTGCTCCTGCTCCTGAAGCTGCAGCTGCACCTGCTCCTGCTCCTGCTCCTCCTCCTGTTCCCCTGCCTACCTCCTCCTCCTCCTCCACCACCTCCTCCTCCTTCCTCCTCCTCCTCCTCCTCCTCCTCCTCCTCATCATCATCATCATCATCATCATCTTCTTCCCTCCTGCTCTTCTCCTCCTCCTCCTCCTGCTCTTCCTCCTCCTCCTCCTTCTCCTCCCCTCGACCTCCTCCTCCTCCTCCTCCTCCTTCTCCTCCTCCTCCTCCTCCTCCCTCCTCCTCCTCCTCCTCATCCTCATCCTCCTCCTCCTCCTGCTCGTCCTCCTCATCATCTTCCTCCTCCCCTCCTCCTCCTCCTCCTCCTCCTCCTCCTCCTCCTGCTCCCCCTCCTCCTCCTCCTCCTCATCCTCATCCATCTCCTCCTCCTCCTCATCCTCCTCCTCCTCCGCCTCCTCCTCATAGGTGGCTCGCGGCGGGGCCGCAGCCGTCTTGCCCCGCGGCGGGGCACGGGCGCCGCCGGCGCGAGAGCCCCCAGCGCCGCCCATCGGGCGGGCGCGACGGCGGACCGCGGCTGCGCCAAGCAGAGCGTGGCTCGGGCTGCCACCAAGCTGGACGACGCCGCGAAAGCCTGCACCAACGCCATCCAGACGCAGGCCAGGCAGGCGGTCCCACAGCCGCAGGCAGCCGAGCCAACGGCGCCGAACATCTCCATTGCCTCGCTCCTCGACGGCCAAGACGTCGAGCTCAGCGACGACGGGCTCGATGGGCTCGAGGTTCTGAAGGAGCTGGAGGGGTACGAGATCAAGGAGTTTGACAAGGAGGAGGCGGCGAACAGGAAGCAGGCCCTCCAGCAGAAGTTCAGGGAGCTGGCCGCCACGGCGTTCGGCCACGGAGGCGCGCGAGCTCCAGCGCCAGCGCCAGCAGAAGGCGCTCAAGGAGCGCCTCCAGAAGAAGCGCAAGCTCGAGGCGGACGAGGCAGCGCCAAGCGGGCAGCCTGACACCGCGGCGGCCCCAGCGACGGCCCCTGGCTTGCCTGCCCCAGCAGCTGCCGCAGCCGCCGCGCAGCCCGCAGGCCAGCCTCAGGGGGGCGCTGCCGACGTCTTGGCGGAGGCCACGGCCAAGCTGGCGGCTGCCAAGGGTGCCGGCAGAGCAACAATTGAATGGAGGCTTGGCCATGGATGTCACCGCCGCCATTGTCGGATAAGAAATCCCCTAGGGTCTCAAGGCCTCGTGGGCAGTCCTCGACAAACGCCCCACCGTAGGCCCCAAGATGGCCGAAGATGGCCCCAAGGGAAATCCAAGACGGCCCCACAGGAGCCCAAGACAGTCCCAAGACGGCCCAAACAGTCATGAGAGCTCCTCAAAAAGTGGAGACGAGACAGAACCATACGAGCGGACCGGCTCAAGAGGGGCGCACATCAACCTGGAGTCGGCGATACATGGCCGAGGGATCGGCGATTCGGCGATAGGCTCCTAGTAGCGAATCCACACGTTCATAGGCGGGGTGGGCCATCGGGCCCCTATCGGCGACGAATGAGCGAATGGGGGGCCGATGCACCCCCACCTGAGCATATCCCCAACTAACGTTGCCCCTGAGCTCCAGGTTGTGGGCCTCGTCCATGATGACCACCCTGTCCTTCAGCGACCAGCGCTCGCGGTGGTGGGACTTGCACTTGGACACCGCCGGGTCCATCACGTAGTTGTGCGGGCAGAAGATGATCTCGGCATTGCCAGCAAGCACGTGCGCGGTGTAGTACGGGCAGCCGCCCCCGTCGACGGTGCCCTGGCTTGCCTTGACCAGGTCCTAAGATCGGGTGTTGCAAGAAGTACCCCTGGCCCAAGGTGCCCCCAGCTTTTCGCTCCATTTTGGAGCCCCTGGGGCCCTCTGGGCCTCGTGAGGGGTGATTTGGAGGCCGTTTGGGCTGCCCCGAGAATCCTGGGGCACCTTGGCCCAGGGGCACTTCTAGCAACACCCGGTAAGACGAAGCCAGGACTGGGACAAAACCGGACCAGGCCCAATCGGGAATCTCTGAGACCCCTTGGCCCTGGAGGATGTATATAACGGGCGCCGCGGCCGCTCCAGAACGCCCTAGGGCGCTCCGAGAGCCTTCCAAAACGCTCCTTCGTGAATCGTCCCGGTCCCAGACTTCGGTCGGATATGTCCCCCTACAGGCGGAGCTTAAACGAAACATATGAAATAGTCACACACACACATAAACAAAAACAACAACATAACCAAAAAAGAAGTCCCCGCACTATTGTTTCACTACTTTTGAGTATTCCTCCTGTAGAAGGACGTGCCCGACCTAATCCCAGCCCCGCCCGAGATCCTCCACGTCCCACAGAGCGCCCTGGCGCCCACACTGCTGGTGCACGCGCCTGGCGTGCGCAGCGTCGCCCAGGCGCGCGTACTGCGTGCACGCGCATTCCTCCAAGGGGCCGCCCCGCCGCTGGAGCCCTGGGCTCGCGAACGTCGCGCGCGCCGCCTGGCGGCGGCGAGCCCGGGGGGGAAGGCAGAGGGGGCGGGCCTCCGCAGAAGGCTCATACAGTCAACCAGTATAGTGAGCATGCGCGATAAGGATGCAAGGGCCCTGGACGCCCATTTCGAAGCTTTACGAGCGGGGCGCGGCCAGCGAAAGCGGCGAAGGATGGACCGAGGAGGCAGGGATGCAAGGGTACCCTTGGGAAGGTTGCCCATCCTTACTACGCGGGTTGACTGTAAGGTCTCAGACCTCCCGAGACGCTTCCTGAGCCTTCTCCGAAGCCACAGCCAGCTTCTCTAGAGGAGCACAGAAAGGCACAAAGGTAAGGTTAAGGTTTCGGTGGTCCGCGCGGACTTCTTGGATCGGCGCTGCACCCCCCTCCCTGGCGCGCCGAGCGCGCCAGGGGCGGCACCGGAGGCGCCGCCTGGGAGGACCCGGCGCCGATCCAAGAAATCCGCGCACACCTCTGAGACATTGCTTGCGAGGGCTTCAGAGAAGCCCGGCCGGCCCCCTCTCGCTTCCCCCCTCGGCGCGCCACCAAGCCTGGCGGCACGCGAGGTTGAGCGGCAGCCGCTGCCGCTGTGCCGCCGCACGCACGTCCAGGTTTGTGCAGAGCTGGTCGCGGCTGCCGATCACCTCGGAGCAGGGCGAGCTCAGACAACGGCAGATCAGAGCCGGTCCCCGCACCCGTCCCGGGGTCCAAACGCACCCGTTGTCCGGGCGGCGTCCAGCCGTGGCGGTGAGGGGTCCCCCCGAGGACCAGATCCCGTTGTCTCAGCGCGCCCTCCTCCGATCACCGCCATGCGCGGACGGTACGGCATCTTGCGGAGCTCGCGGACCATCTGGGCGAGCTGCGCGTGGGTCCGCACACCGTAGACGATCTGCGGCGCCGCGCCGCGGCTTGCGAAGCAGCGGCGCTGGTACGCGAGGGCCGCCGTGAGCAGTGCGATGCTCTTGCCGGTGCCGGTGGGGGACTCCAGAAGCGCCACGCTCCTGCTCTCACAAGCCCGCAGCGCTCGCTCGATGACCTGAAGGGCCACTCGGTTTGGCGGGTCACAGCTCGCGGTCCCGGCACCCCGGGAGCGCTCTCGGCGAGGCGCAGCTGCTGGAACGCACCCCGAGGCCGGAAAGCCTGCGAAGCACAAACGAGAGCGGGCGAGAACCCGAGACCAGATCCGACGAAAACGAAGCCAGGTCGAGGATAATTCTGAGCGAGGAGATAAGTCGAGAATCTCTGAGGCCCAAGGGCTCTAGAAACGGTGCCGGGCGCCGCGGCCTTCTCACAGGCGCTCTCTGCGGGCGCTCCCGAACACTGTGGGGCAGAATTGGTCGGGCGCCCGAAGCGGGGACGGAAACAGTGGGTGATGGGCCTGTTTTCCACCACCACCATCATAAGTTGGAGGGGGAGGGGGTCCTCCTCCTCCTCCTCCTCCTCCTCCTCCTCCTCCTCCTCCTCCTTATCCTCCTCCCCGTTCCCCCCACCAACTTATGGTGGTGGTGGCGGAAAACAGGCCCATCAGTGGGTACGATGCCGAGCAACAGACGTTGTCCAAGACCGACAGCGGCCGCTGTTGCGCAGGCGGCTTTCCGTCCTCAAAGAACAGCGTCTGCGGCGGCGCGGACCGCAGGCCCTGGCCAGAGTGGGCAGGGACTGCGACTCGGCGTGGTGAACCCTTCCTTCCGCGCCTGGTCCGATTCGTCCTGACTTTTTACCCGCCCGACAGACCTCGAGCTGGGGGCCCATCGGCGCGAACGGCAGCTCGACGTCGTCCGACAGGACGCGCACGCTGTGCGCACGCCCGGCCTCGTCCAGGGCGCACGGGGCGCCACGGATCCAGCCGGGCGGCGGCGGCGCGGGCCCGTGCCCGCCCGCGTCCACGGCGATGCGGCTGCTGGCGGCGGGGGCGCGAGCGTCGCTGAGCGACAGGCTGTCCAGGTGGTCGCGCAGCTGCTCGACCACCTGGGCGGGGACGATCGAAAACAAACTCCTCCTCCTTCTCCTCCCCCTGCTCCCCCTCCTCCTCCTCCTCCTCCTTCTCCTCCCCCTCCTCCTCCTCCTCCTCCTCCTCCTCCTCGACCACCTGAGCGGGAGCGAATGGAAACAGTCCCCGCGGGCGTGTTGTCGCCCCGCCTCGGGCCCTGGAGCCTTGCAGCAGATGGATCCAGTTCGGGAGAATGGCGCGGAAAGACGGGGTCTCCGGTCGTGCTTTGTTGCGATGCTGCCATGTGCTCGCAACGTCGAATCTCAGGAGACGCCGTCTGGGAGGTCCTCGTGGGAACGGTCGTGAAAAACAGTCAAGCCCGATCAAGGGACCATCAAGCCGGAATAGGCCGGACCTTCGATGTTCTTAAAAGCGCTGGGGGGGCTCTACTATTCCGTTTTCAAGATCGACGTTGTTCAGCTGTGGGAACAATTTGTTCTTCGTTTTGGGATTGCCGTCTCGCCGTTTTCGGTTCGTTTTGCCATCCGTGCTCTAATTGCTTGTATCTGCCGTTAGTGTTTATGTGTACCGTTTCGGTCAATTGTTTTCTGTCTTGGGTTGCCTTCTTTTTTTCTGTTTTTCACTGAGGATGAGCCCGACTCGGCTGAGGATTGAGCCCGATCGAGCAGGATTGAGCGGGATGAAGCGGAATTCAGCGGGATGACTAGGCGATTGGGGGTCGATGCGTCCCCCCTGAGCCTCTAGCCCCCTCGCGTGGACCGTCTAGCTTTTAGGCCATGCCCTCGACGAGGCGCAGCTATTGAAACCCACCCCAGACATCGAAAGAGCAATAATAACTACGCAATCATAATGTTCGGAGCTCAGCGCTAATCTTTTTGACCTGCGCTGAGCCCACTCCCTGGCGCGCGAGGCCGCAGGAGGCTTCCATCCCAGCTCGAAGAGATCCGCGCGGAGCTCCGAGATATTATGTTCATGATCTTGCTTCTTCGAACGAAATCTCTCGAAAAGCCAACGGCAACCTTCGATAACTCCCCCTCTTGCTCCTCCTTGTTCTCCTCTTCCTCCTCTTGCCCCTCCTCCTCCTCCTCCTCCTCCTCCTCCTCCTCCCCCTCCTCCTCCTCCCAAGCTCCTCAAGGAAGAGGCTCACAGGCAGGCAGAAGAGAGCGTAAGTGGAGAATCGGATGTAACCCCGAAGTTTTGGTGAATGGTCGGGTCGGCCTAAACGCAGCCTCCCCTCATCGCATGTGGTGGTCCTCCCCCTGCTCCCCCTTCTCCTTCTCCTCTTCCTCCTCCTCATCATCATCCTCCTCATCCTCCTCGAACTCATGATCATTCTCCTCCTCCTCCTCCTCCTTCTCCTCGTCCTCCTCCTCCTCCTGATGCACATTCCTCTTGGCCCCGAGATGGCCACATAAGACTACTCGACGGATAGACACGCCGCCAGCTATGTTACAGGGACGGGGCTTTGGAGCGCATGTTCGGTTCAAAGGCATCTCTGTTTATGCGCTTACGTTGTATTTCCCGCCCACGCCCTCGGACCGCACATCGGTGCCAAAGTACCGATCGTGCTGCGAGAAGTTGAGTAGATGGGCCTCGATGATGATTCGACGAGTTCCCCATGCTGCGATTGCGTTCATTATGGCCGATGTAAATGATGGGATTGGGGTGATGATATATGATGGGCACTGGATCGATTTTGGGGAAGAAGCACTTGGGTACGGAGTATCGCATGAGAAGCATATGTGGGGAGCTGGACACAGAGTACGAGAGCCAATGGAGGAACATGGGCAATGTGCTCCAACTACGCAGCGAGGAGTATCACCGACTTGTTCTGATGCGCGTGGGAACTCACGTATGATTGATCATGTCATTATGCCGCGTCCACTGGCAGCTACGATCAAGTCCCAAGGTCCTCTGAAGCACATGGGTCGTCGATTGCAGTATATTCCCGACGCTCAACTGCGATATCACACCCCAGTACACGTAAGAGTGGGGATCAACATGGATTTCGAACAGAAAACACAGACAGCATAAACAGCCCTAAATGGAAACCAGTACGTATCGGTGAAGTGGGATGGGGACAAACTGATACATGCCCTTCGAAGATCTCATGGGCGACACACATTTCTGACTGCAATGGACGCAGTTTGGCCGAGGTTGAAGCTACTGTTGACATGGATCCTGCTGAGACGATACTGAAACGACTAGACGATGTGATTCGAGATGAGAAACCGAAAATGTTCGCGAAAGATGCTCCCTACGGACACGCATCCCCACAAGGCGGAGATGCTCAGACTTCTTGATCATCGGCGTTCTCTGCGAGAAAGACAACATGAGTGCTTCGCCGCTGAGCTCGAGAGTTGCACCCAGCGGCTCAAAGAAATAACCAGGACATGTACCAGGACTCGAAAGCAGTGGTTCAAGACGAAGAGCGAGGCACTGGTGGAGGAAAAACATGAAGCCTGGCGGCGCCGTGACCTTGCATCCACGCACAGGTTGAGCCTGAGGTTAGCAGGAGGCCGCTATGGCAGTGGGAAGCGCGATGTTTCCAGACTCCAGGGTGCACAGCCAACGCAGGAAGAATGGCTTGCGACTTGGTCCAAGCCAGGGGGAGACGGGGGGATGTTGGCGACTAGGTTGGAGTGGGGGGACTTGGGGAGGGATCGCAAGCACTTCGCGAGGGCGCCAGCTCCGCCTGCGCATCGACAGGAGCGCGCGGCACAATCATATAAGGACGCCGTGGGCGACCTTGCTTTTTTCAGGCCTTTCTAAAGACAGCTTCTAAGAGGAAAGGGGTCCCTCGGTGATGGTTGCCTGTTGAGTTGTGGGGTCCTGGGGTCGGTGAGCCTCCTGAAGAGGACCCGCGCCGCTGCGCCGGGCTCGGCTCGAAACTCCCTCCGATCTGGGGCGAACAGGTTAGAAGCTGGCTCATCCGAGTTTTTTTCTTACTCGCCAGACGGGTCCCCTCCCGATGTGTGGTCCTGCAGCCAAGGCTTCGCTCTGCAGAAATGTGCGCTTCCCGGCACGGCGGGCCGTAGAAAGTGCACGGTCTGGACCCGCTCGGGAAGTTCATTTTTAAAACGCACGACGAAGCGAGGCCCGCCATACATCCATCCTGAGATGGATCATGGATCTCTTAGGAGGAGAACGCGCGAAGACGCTGCCGCTATAGCAGCTAATATTTGCACGTCGTGGCGACTGAACAAAGCTGGCACCCATTGGATAGACTTGCTTACGGATTTAAGCCATGCGCTCGCGTCCCCAGCTCGGCCGGCTGTGGATGACGCTGTCCTTGGAATGGCTCGAGGATCGGATATACGTTTCTGCCAGCAGCGCTATAAGCTAGCGTGCACATCCATTCCTGCAGAGGAAGATGGCCTTCTTTTGCGCACAGGCTGCGGTATGCTCCAAGAGATTATTTCGCTACTGCGTCGTTCGTTCGTATTTGTTTCGTCCGTCGGTCGACCGTTGGACCTCGAGGCGTCAGACAGAGGATCCCATGGAACAGCTACTGTCGGCCGAGTGTGATGTTATAACCCCAAAGAGTGTCTATCTCGGGTGAACGAAATTTGCAGATGATCTTTAAAAAAAAGCTTGTGCTCGGATCACGCTTTTCCCTGGATATGGCTAAAAGCACCCTTCGACGCAATGACGATTGGCTGGACGAGGAGCTTGAGAGGATTGGTCTCAAGCGAAATCCCAAAAAGCAGGAGGCCACTGTTTCTGTCCTACCTTCGGCGAAGCAGAGGGTGGCCCATTTGCTGCGTAGCCAGGCGTGCGGATGCGGAGAGTCGGTCAGGTATCTTGGACCCCGTCTGACCGCCACGCTATCCTTCCAGATTGAACTAGGCAAACGAATCCAAGCGGCGAAGACGGCTTACGTTCGCAGGGGACGTTTTTGGCAGATGCAAAATATTCCTTATCGCTGGAAGCGATGCGTGCTGCTTTGCCATGTTGATAATTCCGCCTTGTCTGCAGTCGAGTGTTTTACACCAAGTGCTGGCCAGCTACGCAAACTTGAGTTGGCCGTGGCTGGACTGCGCAGACGCGCCATGGAGAGGTAAAGAGAGCTGGGAAGAAGCTCGCCATGTTCGCTGTCTGTCCTCCCAGCAGGTGCTTGACTGCTGGACGATCATACCTCTTGACACTGAGCTAGGAGCGCGTCGGCTGAAATGGTTTCAAGGCATGTGCGCCTACCCCGAATATCACAGACAGCTGATCGGAGCCTGGTTCGGCAAAGAAGATGGTTTTGTTTGGTGAATTTTGTTCGATTCGCCCTGATGCGAACCCGTCGGCTTTGAAAGTTCACGAGGACATTCGGCAACTTGTGCGTGCGTCCGAGAAAGCCGAGGAGTTGTGCAGAGAAGTCCGCGATATAATGAACACTTGTGTTTACCGGAGTTCTCGGCCATATTCAAGCGCATTGACGTAAGAATATGTAGAAGTTCTGCCATTGGTGTGCTCATTCCTCGGGAGCCCCATCAATGGATCCCCCGAAGAGGCAGAAGTTGATGCCCTTTTAACTGAACACTACCATGCCTGTCCATGGGAGGACTTGTCGGGCCTCTCTGGAGCCACTTTTAGTTGTAGGTCTGGCCTTGATAATCACATCAGCGTTGTGCATAGCAGTGCAAATGTATCGCATGCCATCACTATAACGAACCAATGCGTGCTGTGTAAGGGGGTATTCGGCGAGAGGCTAACGGCGTGCAAACACCTAAACGGGGCCCTACATCATGGACGTTGCCTTCGAAACAAAGCATCCACTTTGGCAGAGCGTATGGTGCCTGAGAATATCCAGTGCAGAATGTGTGACTCAACCTTCTTGAAGCTGACTGAATACAATCGGCACGCTCTCGGTCACCTGCAACATGCCCCCGCAAGTAGAGCTGGACGCAGCAATGTTCGGAGAAGAGGGGCTCCCCCCTTGGGCTGGCGTGGTCATCGCTCCAAGGCGCCCAGCAGAAGATGCAGTCGAAAGCACAGGGACCAAGGCGAAGCAGG